ATAATCGCTAGAGATAGGAAAAATTGTGTTAGGACTTAAAAAGATGTATTTCTGGGTGTTCTTTAATTATGTCTGAACAAACTTTCTATATTTCCAACAGTTGGTGAAAAAAAGGTCAAAAAGTTAAAAATCACAGCCGGTGTTCATGAGGACTTTTGAAATTGTTAACGAGTACTTAGGTTTACTGCTATAAAGGAGAGTAAAGTAGGCTTTTATTTAAAATATTAATAGCGTAGTATAAAATAAATAAATATAACAAGTTTGATCAAAAGATATCCATAAATAAGCAAACTGCAACAATTTTCTTTTCCTACAGTTACCTAACAATGTACATGTTCTTTAACTGATTTGAGAAAGCAAAGTGGCCAATTCGCTCATCAGTGAGACAATGTTAACATTTTCTCACTCTAATTACTTTGTCTCACTCCAGATTTGCAACGTGAAGGCACGAAATAGTGAGCGCGTAACATGAAGGCAACGTCGTATGCGCGCGAATATACGTTGGCAGCACCGGCTGTAAATCAGCTGGTCAGCTGTTGTACTGTTGTAGGCCTATTTGTCACTTCACATTAAATGTTATATTAAAAGTTCACTTCTGTGTAAAAATAGGTTATGTTTCTTCACCAATTTATTTGTTTTATGGTAACTGTAGGAAAAGTATAATGTGCAACTCGAGTTCAAAGTACAATTGCCTCACTCGAGAAACCATTCCTCACTCGCCTACGGCTCGAGAGTAAGGATTTTTCTTGAGTGAGTCAATTGCTCACTTTTCTCACTAGTTGCATAAATAACTATTTCCTCCGTAACTTGGGAATTTTGAATTTAATACTAACTTCAATTTATCTCAAAACCGTTAGAGATAGATAGGGCAAACATTGTAGTATAAAAGCTATCTATTTTTAAGTGTTCTTTAACTTTTGTATCAACAACAATTCTGTATTGCCAATGGTTAGTGAAATATGGTCATAAAAGTAAAAATTGGCCACCATTTTCCAAGATGGCGGCTGAAGCACTGCCGGGATTTATGGGGACTTTTCACATTTTCGTCAACTTGCCTTACTGAATAACTGTGCAAAATTTCCACTTAGTCGGAATTTGTTAAGACGAATCACATTTTTATCCCTAAAATTCTTGAACTATAACGAGATTATTAGCATGAATGTTTTTGATAATCGGGAAGAATATTGTGCCATACAGTAAAAACCATGCAAGTTTAGAGGAGTACGTTGACGGGGTCGCCGGAATTTCATCCCCCTGGAATTTTACCCCCTGGGCAAAGCTGACGTCACTATGACGTAGTAACCTGAGTGGCCAAAAGTTTGTTCGCGGCCGGAATTTTACCCCCGCGGATTTGGAAGTCTAATGAGTCAGAGCGTGATTAATTAGATTAGCGATAAAAACCAGAATTTTACCCCCTGTCCATATAACTAGCGTTTAGACAACTGAAGATGTACGGGCCGGATTTTTACCCCCGGAATTTTACCCCCGGATTTTTACCCCCGGAATTTTACACCCCGGAATTTTACCCCCTGGCTGATTTTAGAAAATGAATGATTGATTTTCTTATTTCTGTTTTTAATTAATAGTAAAAATTTCATTATTTAGTAGCCTATCTCTATTTATTTATTTTGTAATCTCAGCAAAGTAAACAGAATTCGCTGTTTTATTTTGATCATATTAACCAACAGTTGGCTTCAAAGATCCAATCCTGACATTCGAATCTCAAAATTAGTTAATGTTACATATAAATTAAGATAGGATACTTAATAATAAAATGTTTACCATTAAGTTAAAACTGAATGACGATAATTAATCATTCTCACTAATTTATATATCTGGCCAGGGGGTAAAATTCCGGGGGTAAAAATCCGGGGGGTAAAATTCCGGGGGTAAAAATCTGGGGGGTAAAATTCCGGGGGTAAAAATCCGGGCCGTACATTCGAGGTTTTTATAATTTGATATGTTCTGATTAAACTCACAACCGTGAAAATATATGTTTAATTCCGCGTTTAATCCATCGAGCTGATGTCGCGAAACTCAAAAGTTCGCGGCCGGAATTTTACCCCCTGGTTTGTGACGTCACGTTTGCCCAGGGGGTAAAATTCCAGGGGGATAAAAATCCGCTACCCCCGTTGAAGGTGTGAGCCGTGTTCTGTTTTCTGTTCCAAGTTTTGGCATAGTGTGGCATAGACTACTAACCACCACGCTACGGCCATCTCCAGGTCGTGGCCTGGTAGAATTGGCAACGTTGCAAGTAGTGTTGTTTAGCGCCAGACGTCCCATAAGATAACATGTCAGACAAGTGACACCAGCTCATTAAATCGCGTATTATCTGGTATTATTCATTTACATTTAAATTTATGAATATAAATGTATTAAAAGATTGAAAATAAAACATATAGAATTGAAAACCGAAACCTAATAACCGAGGTTTGATAACTTGAAAATCTATTTCTGTACATTTAAAATGGAGTAAATATTTTCATAGCACGCAGTAATCAAAATTTCGCGTATTCTTTCTTTATTTATTTCCCAACGGATCGCACCATTTTACAACATATATATGTGTTTAATAACAGATGGCATTTACAATAGTACCGGTACCCCTACTAACTAGAAAAGTAATAACAAATAATAATAACAAAGTGATAATAAATAGTAATAACAAGTAATAACAAAGTAATAATAAATAGTAATAACAAATATTCTTAAAAGACACAAATAACATTGTCCCAGGGGCGGATCCAGGATTTCTGTAAGGGAGGCCAACCTACCACGGGGGTCTATATTGTTGTATGTACTTTACTACTACTCATGCTATTGCTATTATAATTTACATCCGAACAAAACAACTGTTTGTTATAAAAAAAATAGAACACATTTGATTTATTTATTAATATTTACAAAACCTTTAAGACATTTTTGTTTTATTATGTATACGTCCAACAGAGATGATTAAACAGAGTTATAAACAAGAATAAAGTAGAATAAAAGCAAATAAATTACATGGTATCAGTATAATTTATATTACATTAAAACGTGTTGTAAACAGAGCAAAACAATCAACATATAAGACAAAATTTAGCCTTCTTTTGTTTATCTTGGCGAATCTATCGATTAACTGCCTCCAAAAAAACAGCTGTTACAACACTACTTGCGACGTTGCCACTTCGAAGGCCGCGGCCTGGACTTAAGGTGGCCGTGTCTATGCCCTATGGTATCTTACCGAACTTTGATTAACCTATACCTATACCTATAGAACTTAGAAGAGGTACGGGTGAATATGGGTGGTTATAAGAAAATATGGATTCTGGGGATGGAATTAGAGTGCCTAGGGACGGTATTGGTGGGACCTGGGGGCCGCAATGGTGTTCCTTATGGCAGGACTGTAGAAACTTTGTGGCATTGGGATTCTGGGAACGACACAATGACAGCCTGAAAGGGCAATGCATTAGTAGGGTTTGACACTGGGAATCTGGAAGCATAACTTGGAGTAGAACAAACAATGGTTTCCTAGAGAACAGTACTTCTATAATCTTTGTTTTTTTTTCTATCGCGCTTAGTTTTGTCAAAATGTCGGGTTGAACAGAGCAGCAAATCCTCTTTTGAAGGGTTCGGCGGGTGCTAGCCACCCGCGGCAGTCGTAGCATCGCATTCGCATACAGTACCTAATTACTGTAAGTCGACTGAATCATTCCAAGCAGGTTGTTTCTTTTAATTTTCATTATTGCTATTTAGTTTTGTGTAGCAAATGTTGGTTTAAATACAGTATAAGAAAATCTTCGTTATTGAAAATAAAACCTGGCATTTATAAAGCAGGAAGCCTGTAATTTAAAATATTGAAAATAGTTTTTTTTTATTTATTTATTGCAAACGGGACAAAGATTATTAAGATAAGATTATTACACCAATACAAAAATATTACAAATATAATGGCGTTGAGAAAAATTATCAGTTTCACAGTTTGGTTTATCTTACCGTATTAAAATTCAACAAAATTCTCAAATTATGTTCAATAAGGCAAGGTCGTAACATTTCATTTGTCAAAAAGCAATAGATTGTTTTTATTGGTAGCTTGGAATGCGTTACGCACTTCCCGATACGTTGAGCGCACCTCCTGGAGCGCCCGACGTGCCGGGGGAGTGCGGAACTCTTACAGGTTGCCACGTAGTATACCCAATACCTACTAAACCACATACCCCCTCCCTGTCCATGAGCTCGGGAGAGTGGTAGCATGCTGGTGCTGTGCTACTTGAAGATCTTGCTGGGGTTGTCGTCTCTGGAAGGGGTGTCTCAGGCGGGGCGGCGGATGACAAGTCGTGCTCCACTGATTCTGGGGGTTTGCTTCTTGAATTTGCCTTCGTCGCTCAACCGGGGAGGCTGCTCTCTTAATTGAAAACAGTTGCCTATCCTATATAAATACAGTGATTGCCTAGGCCTGTACAAAAGCACGGCCGCCTTTAACTCCAGGCCGCGGCCTTCGATCTGGCAACGTCGCAAGTGGTGTTGTAACAGCTGACTTTTTTGGAAGCAACTAATGGTATTTGTGTATTTACGAAAGATTGATTACTGGACTAAGACAATATTGACTCCGCTTAAAAATGTACAGATATAGATTTTAATTCATATTGTTTCAATTTTCAATTATGTATGTTTTATTTTTAATATTTTAATAAATGTATGTTCATAAATTAAAAATTAAATCAATAAAGTGCGAATTAATGAGCTGATGTCACCTGTCTGCCATGTTATCTTATGGGACGTCTGTTACTGAACAACACCACTTGCGATGTTGCCAATTCTACCAGGCCGCGGTCTGTAGTTAAAGGCGGCCGTGACATAAGAGCATCACTTCGCTTCGCTCAATTAAAACAATTGGAATAATTTTTGGTGGAAATTTACAGGTCTTTGTCGAGGTGAGAAGAAGAAAAACAGCCAAGTAAAGGCAAGGCACATTATGTACGAATGTACGAACATAGGGAAAGGACCAATGGAAAGGGAATGAAATGAATGGAGAATGGGCATTCAGACAAATTGTGAATGTGAACCGATTCAATTCTATCTAGCATCCATCCAACAAACTTAAGGAATTCTTTAATTAGGCTAGGCTGTTGCTTCACGCTTAATCTGTGTTAAGTTCATTAATTCTGTATGGAATATTCAATTTGAAAATGAATAAATCCTGTGCTAGATGTGAAAAGACTGTCTACCCCATTGAGGAGCTTAAGTGTTTGGATAAAGTAAGTAAAATTGTTGTCAAGTTTGTGACCTGCTTGTTCTTAACCTTGTTTAATGAAATGGGGAAATGCAAGATAAATATTTGTTCTATTTCGTATTAGGTTTTGTATTTAAATGAAGCAATGATGAAAATAATACTTTTAACTTATTGTCTTGTGTTATGGGCATGCAATGTTTTTTGCAACTTTCCCAAGATTGAGTAATTAGCCTAGGCCTACATTATGACTAACCAACCACCTAATTTGGGCCTAATATACTCTATGTTTTCATACGATTTCAGCAAATAATTGCCTGCAATTAATGACTTAATTTTTATCAAGCTAGGCCTTTTACTATTACACTGTGGAGTAAACAGTAAAATAGTGACTAATTAGGAAATTAAATGTAGGCTAACAATACTTAGCAGGTAGTTAAGTTATGCCTATATAAGGTAATGTCTTGAACACAATCATAAAGGTCACATTAGCCAAGTGTTGACAATTGGCTACTTCAGTCAACTCTTCCTTGTAGAAGCTGTATTTGAGCCTAATTAGCCTAGTGACTTGAATGTCAACAAATAATAGTATGAGAACTCTAAACAAAATAGTCCAATATACTATATAGTCTTAAGCCGGATCAAAAACTATCTCTTAGGGGTTTATTGACACTTGGGAAAGTAAACCTTTGTCCAACCAAATCAATAAAATTGTTAGGCCTACTTTTTAAGAGGCAGGTCCAAGTTAATAGCCTTGGTAGATTAAAATAAAGACTAAAGTCTGTATTCAGAGTTTTTCTTACAAAATTCAGATTTTTGTGATTTTCACATCAACTAGGTAGGGCCTAAGTTATTGTCATTGATCTAACTTAAGTTTAACTTAGGCCTACCGGTACTTAAAAATTAGGCCCAAGTTAGGCTTGTATACATAAAAAAAATCTAGCCTTCTATAGTCTACTTATATAAGTTAATCAATCTATTAAAAAAATGTTGTGAACAACAACAAAAAAACGCTAATTATTGCGACTATCATACATGGGAACTTATAGATTTTATCACCAGAAACTAGATTTTTTGCTGAAAATAAAAGTGCAAAAATTTCCGCGCTCTCAAATATTAACGGAGTTATGGCTGTTTAAAGTTTTATTTACCTTTGTAAATCAACTGACTAGTCTATTGACGATAATTCCTCACCAGAAACTTGATATAACTATTACATTTATGTTAATTGTAAGTGATTCTAAGAGTACCTATAGGCCTACCTATATTAGACTCACACTAACATCTAATAGGTTAACTAAAGAAACTTATTAATTTCAGCATAATGATTGTTCGGAAAACAAGGTAGCTAAGCTGTACGCAGCTAACTAAAAGTGAGTGAATGAAAGTGGTTAGTTAGTGGCGGCGGCATGACGGATTTTGACAAAATCTATTTGCTAGTTCCAGTAATAATAAACCTAATCCACTCCACAACATAGGCAACATGGTTACTTTAACCATGTAGCTTTTATGCACTATTATATCCTTTTAAAATAAGGATTTTATTACGTAGCAGCGTTGCCAACACAACTTGCTCATTTTACCCACAAAATCCGGTGGTATTTCCCGGAATTACCCGGAATCAAATTTTAATTACCCGGAAAATCCCCTGAATTCTAATTTTAAGGATTTCGGCCAACTTATTGGTAAAAACTGCGTTATAACAACGTTGTAACGGTGCATTGAGAGAGTTATTAATATTAATATCATTCTTATATTGAACAAAACAATGTTAATCGTCCATTTGAAGTTTTTTAAGGCTACCTTTTTCAGCTAGTCAATTGACCTAATTGACTTTTGGCGCACCTAACCAATATAGCTTTGACTATACTGTAAATAGGCCTACAGCTTATTCAGTATCCAAAAGTCAATGCCAATACAGCTAATACTACACTGTAGTTAGCTATGATGTTGTAAAAATTTACATTCAATGTACAGTAATACATCAAAATAAAACAATTGAATAACTACAGTAACTCCATTGATTAAATAAATAATAAATTCTCCTTATATAAATAAATAAATAAATTCTCCTAGATTTGTCATCCTTGCACATATAAGAAGCAGACGAAGACAGTTTAATACGTTATGTTAGTTCCATTCGCTACCTGTAGGAGCTAGGAGCATGTCTATGTTTAGAACTGGACTATTTTTTAATAACTCATTCATAATAAACGAATTGTAAACAAAAACACATCCCTATAAAAAAAAACTGGCCGTAACTAACATTGAAATTGTTTTTCTCATCCATACTGTACCTATGATGACTTGTCAATAAAAGAGTGATGTTTAATCTATGCTAAAACTACTAATTTAATTTCATTCAAATTTTCAAAGTTCATAATATTATCCAAAGCTAAAACCATAGACGTTAGGATACTTTAACCCTTTGAGTGCCAACGTCCGGGGAACCGGACGTTTTTAAAACGAGCCAAAAGTGCCGACGTCCGGCCGACCGGACGTTTTTAGAACGAGCCAAAAGTGCCAACGTCCGGCTGACCGGACGTTTCGTAATGATCGAACAGTTGTCATAACAACCGAATGGATACTCGGATTCTTTTAACCCATATATTAACATTGAGTCGAAAGTTACTAGATGCGATACATCGATTTTCGTTGGTCGAAATATCGAAAATTCGATTTTTACGAAATGTTAACCTAAAAATCGCCAGCTCCCGCTCGGCATTTTTAGCGCGACCTTCGGGAAAAATCATCGGCATTTTTTGAGCGTTACTTTTATTTCTCGCCTGGCACTCTAAGGGTTAACAGAATGAGAATACTTAATCATATCAATAGACGAGACAACCTAAATATAACATCTTAAGTCTTCCATAGTCAAATGAAAAATCTGCAAATCTTTCATTGTGTGTCTGCACTACGGTACTTGTACTCTCGCTGGGGAGTTTCCGAGTTCAGATCTAATCTCTAACCATAGATTTAATTAAACATACTTGTCAATAGTGCTTCGCTTCACTTTTTATTCAGTGGCTTCAGTTCCAATCCCATTCTAGTCCGTTATCCAATCCTAATCATTGATGATTTGCAAGAAACGTATTTTTGTAACTTATTACTGTTTTTGGTCACTGTCTACACATGCAACCAAAGTATTGCATTGTTGTTTGAAATACTTTTTGTCCAATTTTGTATTAGAAAAAATATTTTTAAAGTTGGTACAATGAAATACCTGGAAAATCCCCGGAACCAGCCCAATCCCCGGAATTTTACCCGGACCCCGGAAATCGGTAATGCTCAGCTGTTACGTAGGCACTTCTAAAGCCTATTACAGTACAACTACTATTAACCAATACAAGTAGACTTTTCATCCCATTATAAAATCTGAAGTTTTTCCATGTCTAGTTCGTTGGTGACACTTGCGCTAGTGTCGTAACATTTTGATATTATTGTAGGGTACTACAATCTCAAAGGCATTATACTGTAATAAATTCTATAATACCTTTATGATAACCTAGAGGCAAAAACTAAGATAGGCCTATACCATAACTAGATAACACAATGATTAGTCTATGAATACATATCAGTTATAAAATTAATCTATTCTAAACTAACCTAACCTAACCAAACTTGCTGTAACATAAAAAATAAGTATGATGCCAGAAAAGGCATGTGTGGAAGGCAAGTCGGGCTTTATGTGGCTTTGTGACTGCATTAAGTCCTTGAAGGTTTGTTAGATTAGGTAAGTTAAAGTGTAGGTTATAGTAAACCGATTTCATAATTTATATTACACACAGGCAGTTGTTGTGCTATTAAAATATTGTGTTGTACACAACGAAATAACGATTTCAAAAATGCTTGAACTTCTTCAGGCTTCGAAAGACATCAAAACTTCATTCCAGAGGAAGTCGTCATGGTAAAAAATCTACCAAAGTCATATTTACATAAATCACGGACGAACGCACGAACATAACACATAAACATTACAAAAACACGGTACCGGGAAACACGTTACGCACGGACCTGCCTATTGTCTAGACCTGCTCTCCGTGTGTAACATGTTTCCCGGTACCGTGTTTTTGTAATGTTTATGTGTTATGTTTGTGTGTTCGTCCGTGATTTATGTAAATATGACTTTGATGAATTTTTTACCATGACGACTTCCTCTGGAATGAAGTTTTGATGTCTTTTGAAGCCTGAAGAAGTTCCCCCGGGAATGAAACTGCAGTAGCCTACATAAACTACAAAGGATCACTTTTGACAGTATAAGGTATTTAAACCATTATTTATTACTATACCAGTGATCCGGAGGCTAACAACATGAATGTTTATTGCCCGAAAAAAGTAAATTTGAAAATCTATTAGTAAGGACCCCAGATTTTCCTACTCATAGTATCTTAGTGCATGTAAAACTTTTGATTATTGACTTTGTTGCATTTCGATTGGCCCATGTTTAGAAAATTGATTGCAAAATTACTGTAATTTTTTGCTGATTTTTTTATGTTTAGTCTTTGTTTTAAACACAGTTTTGCTTTGTCCAACACATTACATATTAGAATCTAGGTACTGCATATATTAAAGACACTCTGTAAATATTTTTAAATAGGTTAAACTTCAATTTGTCTTTTTTTATCAATCTGAAATGTCTGTCTGAGTTTTAACTATTTAATTTAATTTTGTATTTAGAGTAAGCTATGTAACTTAAAATTGTATTCAATGAGAACCAATAGTTATTTCAGTAAACTTTAATAAGTACTTGACTGGTTGAACTTGTTGCACAATATTTACCTTCAACCTCAATTTTTTCGGCGTGTGATTGATTGTTCGATGTGAAATTTGCTGATAATATTTTACAGTATTCCTGGTTCAATGTTTATTGTTGGTTTTAATATGATTCAGCAGTATTATCTTAATCAATTGAAACGGCAATACTGTTTTATTATGATTAATTCTGAAAACAGAAGATGTCTTTCGGTTATAAACTGTAACTTCTAGTGTAACTAAATGGCAATTCATATGCCTTCATCATTGGCCCTCTGGTAGAGGAACTAGATTGTGTCTGGTTTTATTCACAAATACTAAAAACTTAGCAGACACAACATAAAATAAAAACTCTAGCCCACAATGATAAATTTCTCATGATAATTTTAAGGAAGTTTTGATACATTATGGTATGCTGTATGCTTATTAGTTTATAATTATTAAGGACTATTATGATGTGTTATAGGTGTTTTTTTTTAAGGGATTTGTATACCTACTGGTTTGAGCTACCTACTAATACAGTCTTGTCCTACATGTTCCTTCTTAAAAGAGTCAGGACTATTTTCTCTTCTCATGATGATATAAATTAGGCCTACCATGATATTTAATATTAACTTTTAATATTTAGTTATTTTAAATTTGACAATGAAAAAACTTAGCATTTTTCAATTTCCACAAATGTAAAATTAACATTGTTTATTAGCCTACAAATTTTGTTTACTTAAATCTGGAATTAGTTGTCATGATTATTTTACTACATTAAAATGTATCATGATTTAATCATAATATTGATAGATGTTAAGCTGAAAATCAACTAGATCACCATAATCATGTAAATAATGTACAGATTAACTTAACCGACCTTCTATTCTAAAGGTCACAAAATGTTTTGGCATTCCTATCTTTGTTATGACAGTCAGCAATGAAGCATGACTTATCTTTGCTACAGATAGATCACATGTTTAGGTTATTTATCTACTATGTTTACTAACATTTTATTATAATTATAATAGGACTACTCTCTTCCTAGATATTATGAATAATATTTATTTCCACATGTATACGTTACAGCTAATGCTAAGGCTATAATACTTCCCCCAATATTGGAGAGGCTGGATAAATGATTACAAAAATTGAAATTGGTCTTAAAATAAGTGGCGATTAATAACACCATGTGCAGTGAAGATCTTGTTTTTCTGCATATCATTGGCAATGTTTTTGTTTTGTTAGATGTTGTAAAATATATTTATTAAAGTATTTATATAACAAAATCAAACATAGGCCTATGCCTTAGTACAAGTAGAATGAATAGTACTCTGAACATTTAGAATTAGTACCGTACAACTTTTGTATCAACAATTGTAATAAATAATATTTTGCATCGAGCTCACCTACAAAAAAAGAAAACTAACTTAACATCTAATAATATGACATTGTGGATGGACTCTAATGTATAAACCACTGTAGACCTATAGTTAGGTCTAATTGCAGATTAGTTTGATTCTTATTCAATGTATACAATGAATAAAATTTGAATGAAGTGTTTCGTTTAATCAAATTGAATTTCTTAGAATGTAATTTTAATCAACATGTTGTTGTTACAGGTATGGCACAAACAATGTTTCAAATGTCAAGTGTGCAACATGACTTTAAACATGAGGAATTACAAGGGGTTCAACAAACAACCCTACTGTGAAGCGTAAGTTTTATCCAACTTGTATATTCAAACAATTTTTATCCATTAGAACCTTGCTAGTTCAAATTTTAGAGGAAAGACAATATATTTCAAGCTATGGGAAATTAGAAATATAGAATTTTATTTATAGAGGTTAGAATGAATAAAAATTTAAATAATGGAGTCCCAGTTTTCAGTTTGAGTTTGAGACAACGGAGGCTAATGAACACATCGTGGGAACATCAATAAGAGTGTCAGTTCATGTTTCATTAGACATATTTTTTGTCCTGAATTCGAATTATTGGTAACAAAGTTCAAATTGTAAAGGTTGACTTTGAATTTTGGAGGTAACAGTTCAAACTACGGCAACAAAATTTAAATTGTAGAGGCTCGAGTATGTGGAAATTCAAATTGTAGAGGCTGCATAAGTGTAAAAATCACTTTTAATTATAGGTATATTATTATTTTAATTTTAGAGCTTTTCTGAAGGGAATATACAAAAATTTATTATTATAGAGGTTTTTGAATTATCGAGGTTCGAATTAGTAAGGTTCTACTGTAACATGACAGACAAAAACTGTCATACCGGTACATTTTTATACAGATTTTGTATTTATTTCAGTCTAAAACTTGTACCTATGTTTAAAAAAAAATCATAATAATCACCTTTAAAGTTGCCTGGCGTTAATACAGTCCCTACAAAATACAATGAAGTAATAGGATGTAGTACCTTAATGAAATACTTCATTTTGTAGTGATTATGTGAACAGCGTGTTTTACAAGAGATGTCTTTAAATGTATTGTTATCACTACTTTAGTTCCTCTACAACAAATAATGACTTGAGTAGTAGGCTAATATCTTTTGTAATATTTCTAGACACATTCCCAAAGCAAAAGCAACCACCGTGGCCGAGACTCCGGAGTTTAAGAGGATTGCAGAAAATACAAAACTTCAGTCTAACGTAAGTATAATAACTTATATAACCCAGTCTATTCTGACAAATCCTGATTCCATTTGCTAAGATAAGTTTTAATAACTCCTGATTATTTTCATACGCCTAATAAAATGAATGTAATATGTTTATTGTCTTTTGAATTTTTAAAAATTATTGACAATGTCATAAAATAGCTAAAATTATAGCATAGTCAGGGATTGTTATAACAATCGTTATTATTTTTTGTTTGTTTGAAATTTTTGTTTAAATTTGTATTATTTTAGAAAAATGTTATCTTTTAAAACTTTGAAAAACATTCTAAATGTATTTTCTGCTGTTGGATTTATACAATTAAGCATATTTGTCCAATCATAAGTACCAAGCTTATACATTAACACACCCACTGAATCTTTTGGCAAAATAACTATAGGAAAGGAGTTTTAAGCAGCATATTGATTAATGCAATATTTTTCCAAATTCAATTATATTTAATAGAAGACCATTATGGCAAGAGAAAGGAAAATAAAAAACTGTACAGCTTATATTTGCATTTTTATCACAGTTTGTCCAGACAATTGTTGCCTCGGGTTGGGTAGTGATTTAGGAAGTGAAAATTGTGCTGACGGAGTAGGCCTATATTAAGAAAATGTTTAGAGAGGTAGGTAGTTGTTCTGAGTCAAGTCAAAATTTGTATTTAAGTCCCCTCCGATGATGGAAACATAATTAGTCCAATGAGAGAGATGAGTTAATAATTTATCAACATTTTCAAGAAAAACCACAGGGTAGCCCGAAGGTAGACTGAAATAAAAATTAATTTAAAATCCACGATAAAGACCACTGCTGCTTCTAAACTCATTTCAGAACAAAACCAATCCAAATCACATATTTTAACCTGTAAAGAATTTTTTGCGAAAATTAAAAAGCCCCCCCCCCCTTATATGATCAGCTGTGCAGTAAGCACTACCACAACAGAAGCCATCAGGACATGCGAAAAGCAACTTCTTCTGTTCTTAACCAATTTTTAGTTAGACCGATAGCAGAAATACTACTGAGTAAAAATTACTCTAAAATTGATATTTTATTTTTTAAGCCTTGGATATTTAGGAACAAGAATGAAGGATCCGCATTTACAATTGATGGGTTCTTCTGTGGTTTTTGCTTGGCAGTCTTATTAAGGCTAAACAATATTCTTAGGCCTAAACGCTATTCTTATTATAATCTCTGCTTTAGTATAGACCTATAGTTGTTTGTTAAGTCAACGTTAGTAACATTTTCATTCATAGTTGTATGATGTATTAAAATTAGCCTAATCTGTTATTTTTGGTGAGTGGGCTAAATGTAATTCTAATTGAAATTGTGGTCGAAGTAATCTTAGAATCCCTTACATTTTCACCTGGGACCAAGCCTCGGTTGAATTACCGAGCTTGGATAATATAAGGTGTAAATCCCCTGTTTAAAACTGCTACAAAACGATTAGTGTCACATTACTGTGAGTGTTATAAAATAGCAAACAACTTAGGTAATATGTGTTTCATCGAACAGAATAAGAAGAAAGGACATCTCATCTTATGATCTTGTTCAAGGAAAGGCTCTAGGCCAGGATTTTTAATTGTAAAATAAAGGGGATAGCATTTAGCTTAGTTAATTACCTTAGGTGAAGAACATGTTGGCCATAGAGCACATAGAAGAAACATAGAAACACAAAAAAATTTTCATAAAATGGATTTTTTATTCACAAAAAGTGTGTCACATTTTTAAAAAGTTCACAAAAAGTATTTCCATTTTGTAAACGCTTTCCCTAAATTTGATTTAGTTTCCCAGGGGACGAAATATTGTTTGTGGCTATGGCCTACCTGTACTTCTAAGATATGCTAGCTGCTATCATCTTACCGGGATAATCTGTGTGTAACTTGATGTCTTGACGCTTCGGCCTGGTCCAAATCTCATTTCCTTGCTTCCTCTATCAGCTGTTTTAGTGATGACTCACCTAGTAGCATAGACTTTTTTTGTAATAATGAATGTCGAAAGATTCTCATAAAAATTGAAGAGATCATGAAAAAAGAAGTAAAATTATTCCAAACTTTTTAAAAGCCGATTAACAAAGCCATTAAGACTGTCCCATCTTTATCAAACCCTACAGTGGATCTTTTCAGGGCCTACAATGGTGTTAAGTATGCCACTGCACAGGTATAAGCCTTTCTATATCCTCAGTATAATTGGTTTCAGATAGTAACAGAATCACTTCACCTTTTATTAAATAATTAATTAAGTGTGAATATTTTAGGTTAAATACCATGCAGATTTTGAAAAGGCTAAAGGAAAATTGACTCAAGTAGCTGATGACCCAGAAACCCTCCGTATTAAGCAGAACTCTAAAATCATCAGGTAAGCAGGGCTTATTGGTACATCAATATTTTGTAAGATAAGATTTTAGAGCCTCAGGCCTTAAGCCATGGGAGCACAAACAAAAATCTATTTAGATATACAGACTCAAAACTAAAATAACAGATAATTCAACAATGAAATTTAACTAGGTCTATACTTTGAATTCAATTTCCATATAAACAAAATATTCTCCAGCATAAGCACTAAATATTTTTTTTTATTACTATTAAATGCATCCGTTTTTCTGCAAGTTAATGGAAAAATAATACATTATTGATAAATCATTTAACTGTGCAAAATAATATGCTCATAAATAAAATTATAAATATAAATAAATTCATAAAAAATTAAGAATATAAACAAAACATCCACTTTTAACTTTAGTTAATTAATATAACAAACAAACTACGTACCGGTAGTCCTAAATATTGTCAGACTCAGAATATAAAAAAAGGAAAATTATTTATATTTATGTTGCAGTTAAACAAAAATCAAACAATTTATTACACTTCTACGGTGATATATAAGGTATCCAATAATTTTGTAAAATACTCTGACATTTGAATATTGAAATAGAATGATTACATAGGCCTACATTTGAAAATTACGGGGAAAATAATAATGATAACAAATATTAGTGGTTAAATGTAAATAGTTGTGGGACAGAAAATAGGCATAACAAAAAATAAAAGGTTTGGAAAATACTGGTGAATAAATCAAAATAAAACCTTAACTGTCACTTGAAGTAGTGTTTTGGACCACAGCTGGTAGAACAGCCAGATACGTCGCCACCTATGTTTAACTGTAACCTATTTAATGTGATTTTGTACCTTTTTGAGTATTTTTATCTTTCCGAAAGAGAGGTACCGGAACACTGTTCCACCACGTTTCCCCATAAATCGAGCTCTGTTTATAGTCACTATAACAATATGTTTAAAAACACTTTTGTATTAAAATACTTTTAAATTTGCATTTTTTTACAGCAATGTCGCTTATCATGGAGACTTGCAGAAAAAGGCAGAAATGGAACAAAAGCGAACTTTAGCCAATGAAAATGGTGATGTCAGCAGTGGAGGTAAGTTAATGGGAATAATCCAGACAAGTTTAATTTTGTCTGTAAACGCAGAGTTACTTTTATGAAACATACCTAACCATCATGCCACTGTACCCTCAATAAGTTAATATGGTCAACATGGTAACCCTTCTGATTTTAGGAGAGGTAGGTTTCATATTCAGGCCAAATATAAGAATCTATATTCCCACTTGCAAGTTCTCTTGTCTTAGTTTAGCATTAAAGTATATAGGCCTCACAAGTTATTGGAAAAACTCACATTTATGAAAATGTGTTACCATACACAATCAAAACAACACCTAAATCTTTAATGACCTTAGCACTTACCTTGATTAATGAAATTATGTTGTTTCTTTGGATTCTTGTATTCTTTGTCTTTGAGTGTTGGATATTTATCTAGACCTCTGTTTTACAGTAGCTTCAAAGAGTTATGACGTTTTATCTTCTTATTGCATTGCATAGCTTGGTTATAGCTAGTTGTCATTAAATATTGTATAATACAGGGGCCCAACTGTTAATTTTTAGGCCTGTCATAGATTAAACATTCCCCCTTCTATATTTATTATCCTTACAGACGAGCTTAAGCTGAGGCAATAGCCTAGCCTAATTAAAGGATACTTTAGATTAGATACTTGATTTGACATAAGGTCCGGTTTATGTAGAGAATGTTTTGTTGGTAACAATTTTGTTTCTTGTTATTTAACAAATTTTTAAACCATAATAACCAAATGAAATTATCTAACTCATTTATGAATCATTTCCTTGTTGTATTAGTACAAAATTGTCAAGGTCAGTTTTTATATTAAGAAGATTTGGTAAAGTATGTTCTATTGAAACTTTGAAAACAATCTACTACTCACTTTTTTATTCAAATTTAGCATACTGTATCGAAATATGGGGATACACTACCAAAACAAACATAAAACAACTTCTAGTCATTCAACGAAATCTTTGAGGTGTATGGCGGGACTGAGCTTTGGTGATTCTTGTGAGGAAACTTTCAAAAATCTTGAGATTCTTACCGTTCCTTGCATAATCATTTACCGAGTTTTTATATATTTCAAAGCTAACATCTTTAAAACAACAAATGAACAAATTCCACTCATATGACACTAGAGGTAAAAGTAACATCCATATCAGTAGGCATGACATAGGCGACAGGCATTGGCAAGTCTTTTTTTTTTTTTTTTGCTCCAAGACTTTGGAACCATCTACCAAATCAATTTCAAAATTTTCCTCTTAATTTATTTAAAAAGAAGTTGAAGAAAGTTTTAATTAAGCTCTGTTTGTTCACAATAGATGAATTTTGGCTAGTGACGAAAGATGAATTTAATTTACTAATTATAGAATTTTAGAATATGTTATAAGGTGAAGAAGTTAAATTATGTTTATGTTTAAGTTTAGGATTAATTGAAGAGTTAGGAGATACTAATGTAACATATTATGTATTTACTAACAATAAAGCTCTTGTATCTTGTATAGGACTATCAAGGCCATCGTAGAACACAACCTAGGATGGCTTAGTTTACTAACAAGTTAACCACAAATCATAAAATTTACCCTAAACAAATATAAAAATTTGTAGTTAACATTAGCGCTCTCAAATATCACCAACACAAAACAAAAATAAAAACACACTTAAGATTTTTCAATAGGATGAGAAGTTTACGTACACTCCTTAAAGTTACATGGATTTACACTTGTTAGGAGAGTTTATTATTAAGGAACCTAGATAAAGACTCCCAGCTTGGGAATAGCTTTTGTAATTGCCGTACTGTGCCAGGTGTTATCTACAATAAAGCTTTGTCTATTAATAATCCAAAAGCTTACACAATGATAATGAAATCAGGTGTCGTGCCAGTAAAGAAACCAGTGGAACAGATGCAGCCTCCCAGTTACACAGCTCCGCCCAATCCTGGCAAAATAGCAGACTACGATCCTCTGCAGGGGAGAGGAGGAGGTCCACACACCCCCTACTCAGCTCGTCAGTCATCGACTGTCATATACACATCTGACCGTGGACCAGGTAAAATACTCACCTAAAATACACCCTTAATAAATCTGGTATCCGATACTGAGTGTCCAGCCAACTAGGAAAAAACCGCATGTGAAATCTGTATGGGACCAGAAAATACAGGGGAATAATCACCCATAGTCTATATTTGAGCATCCATCCATTGACACCATTCCATTTAAATTACTTTTCAATAACATTGTGTGAAGTAAGAAAATCACGGTCGCTGAGGATAATTATTGTCTCTTGTTGAACAACCCTGATGTAGTAGAGACTGCAAGAGATACTCTTGGATGTTGCCGAAATGGCAAGAGATCATTATGGTGTTGCTTTAATTCTAACGTTATCAGTTACACTAAGCTTTGAACTGATTCAAAATAAACTAAATAATAGTGAGAATATATGTTTATGAAAATTACAAAGGCTATTCTATTTTAGAATTTCACTTTGATTTGGGATTTGGATTAATAGGATTCAATTTGAGATTAAAAACTCCTGGATTTGATCACTAATGTCCGTACTAAAAACAATGAACCAAAACCGTTATTAAATTTGCAGTAATCAATATAAAAAAGTGACTATGTAAATGTTTTTCCTTTTTGAATTGGTGCCAATTTAAGTTCTTTGAACGCTTTCATGTCTTGAAGTTAGTGATCATATCTTAATGGCAAGTTTTGACCAAAAACATTTGAATTTGGAACCTGGATTAGAACTTGATTGTCATGGCTTGCTGGACACCCTGGAACTAATCCTATCAGTTGATTGCAATAGTATTAACATCAATGTGTATGATCTCTGCAAGTCAAGTCAAATAATCTTTATTCATAAGGTATATATAAATGTACATTGAATGACAAATGTGTACACATGCAATTTATAATTTTTACTCGCATCATGCGTAAACGGGCTCACAGCTCTCTATAGCACTAGCTAAATATTGTTGTGTGCTTTGAATCATTTATTGTCCTACAATAAAGTAGATCTGACTTTGTGTATAGCTTTTCATCAAATTTTATGAATTACTAAGTTAATTTTGTTGTGTGTTTTTTACCCTAAATTCTATCACAATGTAATAATTGGCTGAAAATTAAATTCAGGATAATTTAATCTATTTAAAACTCTTAAATAAGGCCCTTATTTCAATAATATATCAGGGGAAGTATTGGAAATGTGCCAAAACGACCTTTATTTTTCACCTTTAATCTGAAGATGATGGTGGGGTTTTCAACGGTAAAGTGTTAATGATTTATCTAAACTAATCCACCTAACTTAACTCAGGCAAGACTGGTAAAACATTGACTTGAGCTACTGAAGGGAATAAACTGAAATTCAAATGTTAACTTAGTTGTTTCCATATTTTTTGGTTTTTTTTCCTAGTTCACTCACACCAAGAACGTAAAATTGGATCAATCGCAGATCTGGACCCAGTAAATGATTTCTACGGCTCTCTCAGTGCAGACTACAACTCACATCCCCACCCACCAGCTCCAAAAACAACTGGGGTGAGTTCACATATTGTATGATCAAATACAGGGTGAGTTTTAAATGAGTTCCCTCCCTACTTTTTTCTACATTTCTTAAGATATCATCTCCGGACCACGTCAGATCATTGCAGAGTAGTAAGTACTTCACTTTGACTGGGTATGCATTTTTGGCCGCCATCTTGGATCCACCATATTGGATACAAAGTTTTTTTTTTTCAAATGTAAAGGTAAGGTTTCAACCCATTATTTCAGACTAGAATTTTACGCTGATTACAATGCCGCAATTAGTTTTTAAAAATCTTGATCCGTTCTAAAGTTATGAGGACTCTTTATACCTTTATTTTTAGCCCAATTTAACATTGTGCATTTACAAACTAAGGCCATAATCTCAAAATAGTATTAGATAAAGATAAGTATACACCACCATTCATTGTCGACCTATTTTCACTTGGTTATGACGGATGTAATTTTTTCGGCCGCCATCTTGGATCCGCCATTTTGAAATGTAACAAATTAATTTAAATATGAATGTGGTGTTGTGACCCATCATTTTGAACTACTTTTTTATGCTGGGCTCAATGCCGCAATCCGTTTTTCATTTGCATCTTTGGTTTTTGAAATATTGAAATTTTAAATAAGAGAATTTTAATATTTCATCAAGAAAGCTTGATAACCAAAAACGGATTGCGGCATTGAGTTCAGTATAAAAAAGTAGTTCAAAATGATGGGTCACAACATCACCTTCGTATTTAAATTAATTGATCACATTTCAAAATGGTGGATCCAAGATGGCGGCCGAAAAAATTTCATCCGTCATAACCAAGTGAAAATAGGTCGACATTGAATGGTGGTGTATACTTATCTTTATCTAGCACTATTTTGAGATTATGGTCTTAGTTTGTAAATGCACAATGGTAAAATGGGCTAAAAATAAAGTTATAAAAAGTCCTCATAAATTTAGAACGGATCAAGATTTTTTTAAAACTAATTGCGGCATTGTAATCAGCGTAAAATTCTAGTCTGAAATAATGGGTCACAACATTACCTTTACCTTTAAACAAAAAAACTTTGTATCCAATATGGCGGATCCAAGATGGCGGATCCAAGATGGCGGCCAAAAATGTATACCCAGTCAAAATGAAGAACTTACTACTCTACAATGATCTGATGTGATGTAGAAAAAAGTAGGGGGGGAACTCATTTAAAACTCACCCTGTATATCTCTGCAATTAGGTGTTTTGCAATTTTATACTGCTATACAACGCTTTGTTCTAAATAAAATGCTCAGTAAGCAAGTACATTATAAGCCCACTTATCTAGCATCTGAAGCATCTGATGGTCCAGCACTTTCAATTCTCCGGCATCGGTCAAAGGTGGTTTTGTCAGAGTCAAAAGCGATTGTTAGAGTCAGAAAAGAAGTGATCGGTTGATATCAGAAGCGATTGCTTTTCAGCATTTTATATTATTATCAAGACAAGGGAAATTACAATAAAACGCGGAATGATGACACGCTGGCCAACGATTTCACTTTGACACCCAAAAAATTAGTGGAATGTTTACTAAAATTCACAAATTCTTTTCTTTCATCATAACAGCTGTTTTAAGAAGACATGCAAAACAATTAATAGTAAGGCCCCTATTAGCCGTGAGCAACATGTGGCGCAGCTAGTGGAGCCGCCGGTGTCGGACGTGTAGAGGAGCATGGAGTCAAATGGTGCCTATTAGCCGCAGAGAGACCTGTGGCGCCGCCGAAAAAGCTGCCCGAGGTGTTGCCGGGAGTGATTTTGCCTGGCAACATGTGTCGCGACCGGTTTTGTGTCCAGGCAGTCGCGGGGCATTGCAGTATATGGAGCCTATTAGCCGTGGGCAACATGCGACGCCACTGACTGCGCTCGCATGCACTATTAACGTGAAAACGAAGCCTGTCACATAGTCTACATCATGGTTTGAGTCGATTGAGACGTGCCTCGCCATATTGCTGTTCTATTCAATAGTGACTTCTGTTCACTTTGTTTACCAGTGACCTTTTTAACAGTGTATTATTTCCTTTTTTGTCATTAGCGTTTTTAATTGTCTTTAGTTTAGATAAACAATGTCTAGTGCTAATAGTGACGTGCAAATTGTGGATGCAGTCACTCAATGTCATGTTTGACACTAGAGTGTTGTGGTGAATTCCGCTGTTTGAGCGAGCTACGAATGTGTCGCACGACTAGTGTCCAGGTTCCAAACGCTGCGGGTCACCGGCGGCTCCACTAGCTGCGCCACATGTTGCTCACGGCTAATAGGGGCCTAATTTGGAGCTTTCAGCAATCCGGCACTGCTGAATTCCCCAACAAGCTGAACTAGGGATTGTACTGTACTATGCTTAAATCCTTCTTAACTTAAGTATAATATCAAAACTACTGTAGCCATTTAAATTTCTTGGTTAGATAGAACTAATATGTTTTAATAGAAAACTGTAAGACTTATTCTTGTCACATGCCGGTTTAGGAAATAAATGTGTTGCATAGTAAATAAACATTTACATTTTATTATCTGTTATTCTATAAAAAAAACTTTACAAAATAGTTTGTAAGTTAAATTTGTGCTTGATTTGCAACAACTGTTGAATTGTCAGTATAATTATTCTTTTGACATGACTACTAAAAACAGAGTGTCTAGTAGGAGGGAAAAACAGGAAATGTCATGAATTAGTATTGAATTTCAAAATGGTCTTGAAAAGTCAGGATTTAGTCTATTTTGTTGTCACAATAAAAAAGGTAATAAATTATATACCATTCTAGTGGAAATTTAGAACTACAACAAAGTTCAGTTTATGGAGAACAAAATATCTCTCAAATTTTGCTGTCCCGAAAAGAGGTACCTACCTTTTTTTATCTTATGGAGAAATAAAATAGGGCAGACAAGAGGTCCCTTTTCTGAAATATGATTTTTACGACATGTTTCGATAAAACAATTATTTAAATTTAAATGAAAACTACCTGAGTTAATACAAAAATTGGTATTGCCTCCAAAGAGGACATTATAAGGTTTCTTTTGATACCAAATTTGTTTCTTGAATACAAAAAAAAAATGTTTTATGCATTTTTAAAATTTTCAAAATAGTTTTTTCTCAAAATGACCCATTTTATAACAAAACTTCAACAACAAAAATCGTAGATGCATGGGACTTGAGCCAAGTGATTCTGAATTTAATTAGGAATTCAAATATACAGGGTGGCTGGTCATCAGTGTGACAAATTTTTTTGGCGTAAGTACAAAGTACATGCAGTGTAATGATGCATATAAAAGGTTCCAAGTCCAAAAATTAGCTTCCCAAAGAATTATTTTTTGTTTTTCAAAAATAACTATGTTTTCAAACTTAATACAGCTATTTCTCAATTACCTGTAAATGGATTTGAGTAGTCAATGTCATTTTCGTGTTCTACATTAAATTTTGAATAAGAATAATAGAAAATGACGGAGGATCAGTTGTAAAAACTCCATTGTAAATAGATTCAAAGATAAAAATTAAGATGTTTGATAAAAATTTAAAAACATTGGTCTATTGTATTTGTTCACACCCTGTATACAAGAAAGTGTTTGAATATGTTAAAAACTGTGCCATTTTATAAGCTTTCTAACCATATGCTACACTAATTAGGTTTAGATAATCTGTTGTTTGTTTTAGTGGTTTGAATACTAGAAAAAAGGGTGTCTTTACCATTTAAAACATAGAAAGCCGGCATGTATTAAGCAAAAGTTGTATTTTTGTTTCAGCTTGAACAGTAAAAACAGTAAAAAAGTTCCCTGTTTTCTGGTATTCAAACCACTAAAACAAACAACAGAATATCTAAACCTCAATAGTGTAGCATATGGTTAGAAAGCTATAAAATGGCAAAGTTTTTAACATATTCGGACACTTTCTTGTATACAGGGTGTGAACAAATACAATAGACCAATGTTTTTTTAAATGTTTATCAAACATCTTAATTTTTATCTTTGAATCTATTTACAGTGGAGCTTTTACAACTGATCCTTTTATACGGAACCTTTTATATGCATCATTACACTGCATTTACTTTGTACTTACGCCAAAAAAAATTTGTCACTGATGACCAGCCCACCCTGTATAACTCAAAATCGAAGATTCCCAACAAGAGCTCCCCTTTTGCTTTCCAAGTCACATTTTTAATCATACCACAACTCAGGGACTAAAACATGGATTTTAATTATTTCAGACGTTCAACTTATAAAGAGGTCTTTAACTAAACAATGATGTAAATACCTGCATTTATGTGATCAATGTGTTGCCAAATTGCAACCGGTTTTGACTCACAAAGGACTCATCGGTAGTAGAAATATTGGTAGAATCAAATTAGTAGAAATATTGGTAGAATCAAATTAGTAGAAATATTGGTAGAATCAAATTAGTAGAAATATTAGAACAAAATTTACATAAACACTAAGCTACCCGTTCAAGCTGTAAACGAGCTCATAGCACTTATAAGAATAGTGTTGAAACAGAATTATTTTAAATTGGAAAATAGTTTTTACAACCAGAAAGATGGGTTAGCAATGGGTTCTCCACTATCTAGTATTTTGGCGGAGATATTCCTCAACCACATTGAAAACAAGCAGATACGTGGACGACTCCATAGTTCTGTTTAATGATAACAACAGACAGCTCTCTTTGCTAAACAATTACTTGTGTAACTTGTATAAAAATATTAAATTCACATTAGAAGAGGAGACCAACAATAGCCTGAATATTTTGGACTTAACAATAACAAAGAAAAATGATAATTTCACATTGAAAATATATCGGAAACCAACTAGTACATATAAGACCATCCACTCAGATTCCCATCATCCATACTCTATATGGATGATGGGTTGTGTCTATACAAATTTTTCTCTCTCAAAAATTAGCAGTTTACAACAGTTTTGTCCACAGACTCCTCTCCGTACCAATGAACACAATAGATTATACCGAAGAACTCAACACAATCAAACATAGCTGTTTCCAATGGTTTCCAAAGCAACCTGATTGACAAACTGATTTCCAAGCATAAAAATAAAAAAAATAAAAAAATAAAGAAAAGAAAACCTATGTTTCTGCGAAGTATGGTTCATTCCATAGCACTAAATTTAAAAATATAATGAACGGCAATAAAATCACAGTTTTCTTCAAAACTGATAGTAAACTTGGTTCTTTATTAAAAAATCGTCCCCAGACACCTACTGCAACCTTTGAGAAAACAGGAGTTTGCCAAATCAATTGTAATGACTGCCCGAAATATTATATCGGCCAAACATCTTGTTCTTTTAATAAAAGGTTTAAAGAACATTACCGAAAAGAACTACAGACCTCGACCTTCGCAGAACATCTGGTTCCTCACAACCACAATTACACTAATATTGATAATAACATGAAAATCCTACACCTCCCAAATGACCGATTTAATACAAACACCTTGGAAGAATTCAAAATCTATAGGACCGTTAAATTTGACAGCCAAAACATTATCAACAAGATTTAATTTCAATCAAATTACATTTACGACACTGCAATCAAGATACTAGCACAAGGGACAGTTGTGAATGAAGTTATCAGTTGATCGGGAAATCCAGGCACGACGTCATCACTGACCACGCTGATCCTGACCGGCAGTCTAGACATAACCCCCGCCCGATGACGTCGTGTCCCGTTACCGTTGTCTTGTAGTATTATCCTTCGTTTTTAACCCTAAATGTTCGTTTCTATGTTCGTGTACGTGTACGAGTTAAATGTATATATTTATTATGAATTGACGACCTTCAAATGAAGCAAGAAGACATCCGTACTCGCCCATCGATGACTCCTTTGAGAGTCCAAACCGGTTGCAATTTACAGGGTACCGGGGAAAACCCGGGAATTATGCGTGAATTTCGTATTTCACCTGGAATTTTCAATTTGCCGCGATCGCGCATGACGACGATGACGTTTCCGTGACCGCGGGAGTGAACGATGCCGTTTCCATGACCGCAGGTGACGTCGATGACGTTTTCGTGACCGCAAGAAACAACGATGGCGTTTCCGTGACCGCGGGAGACTGGGACGACGTTTCTGTGACCGCGGAAGAGGATTATAATGTTTCCGTTACCATTGAAAAATATCAGAATTTTGTCACGACCACGAAAGACAGTGGTGATGTTTCTGTTACTGAGTGAGATATTCAGGATTTTTCAGTTATCGCAGAAAACGCTGATGGTGTCTCTTCGACAGTGTTAGATGATCACGATATATCCTCGAGTTTGGCTTAATTACTATGAAAGTACATAAAGACAGGGGTTGGTGTAGTAATAATTACAGAAAATTTGGTAAAATTGAAATGATCAGTATTATGAGTCTATTTTTCGGGTGTCTGTACAGAGATTCAAACAATTTTGGTATCGATATATCACTATTTTTATGAAGTTTATGAAGGATTTTAATTTTCGGATTATTTAATCAGTAATATATAAAAACTGAATACTTGTGTCAGGCAATTTTACAGTAATCATAAATTTTGTTTCTTTATCTGAGAATGCTCTTTCCGATAACTAAAATAGCGAGCTGTGTTAGCGCTAAAACAGCATTGCGAGAGTTGGCGCAAAACACGTTGGAAATTTTAGTATGAAAAGTACAAACTGAACTACCTGGATTTTTTTAAACTCATAAATTACTCATGAATTTTTCCTGGTGGGCCTGGTGGTCACCCTGAATTTAGCAACACATTGATCACATAAATGCAGGTATTTACACCATTATTTGGTATTTAAATGTGATGAGGAGGCTAAAATTCAATATAATGAAGATCTTTAACATTGTGATTTACGAGGGTTTCAAGGAGATTATGTAAAATTTGAGGTATCAAGGAATTTGCGATATCAAGGTTTGAGTTATTGAGGTCCTACTATTTAAAATGATCAATGCCTACTCCATCAAAATACAAACCCTGATTTAATTAATGATTTGGTTTCTGAAATCTACTGGAACATTCACAAACTTATATTTTGGAGTTTTCTTGGATGATGGGGACTTGCTGTCAGTATTTTCAATATTAAAAGGTCTACTTTTAGTTTATTTACTTCATATTACTTAGAACACAAAGAACACTTTCTTAGTGGCATAGTTGTATAGTGTTTATTTGTGAATTAGTCTTTGACTTTTAACTAGTTGGGTTATAAAATTGGTCATCTTTCAGAGAGTGTATCGAGCCATGTACGATTACGAGGCTCAGGACCGAGACGAGGTATCGTTCAGTGACGGAGACCTGATCATCAACTGCACTCCGATAGACGAGGGCTGGATGACAGGGATGGTTCAACGCACCGGCCAGACAGGCATGTTACCAGCCAACTATGTGGAACCCGCTATATAATGACAACACTTAATTCTTCCCAACTTATTCGCATCTAGCTTTAAATCTGTTTTCACCTCTTTTATGTGTTCTGGTGTATTCGCTTCTTAATAGTTTTACCGGTTTTGGTAATAATTTTTTACCAGTGATATTTCTTAATTGCGATAGCAATTTTCTTGCAAGACATGACATTCCCAATGAACATTCCTGTTGTATTAGAAGATAATAATGAAGTCAATAAAGGTTGACTTTACAAAAAAAGAGCAAATAATTTTGACTTATTTTTATCATAATGACACTATAGATATTTGGCTAAAAGAACAATGTTTGTTCTGATTATTGACATGCCTTTGATATATATAAGGTTTTGTCTTTACTTTATTGATTTTAAATTAAGCATTTTTCCTCATAAGTGGTTCATTTGTTCGTTTGGCTAAATAATAAGAAAGTTGTTCATTTGGCTAAATAATAAGAAAGTTGAATCTCACTCTGATAAAGCTACAGAATTGTTCAGCCTTCTTTAGTACTGTGGTAGTACACGTCTCAGAGTGACTGTTTAGTTACTGCATAGTAAGGAGGTTAAACAAACAATTGATTTATTTTTACAGTAAATGGTTGGTGTATTTCATAGGCATTTTCAGCCCATAAAATATAACTTCTCTAGCTATTATTCTGCTCCATATCTTTCCTGTACATTCCATACATCTACTCTATGAGTAAACATTGTCCTATGTGTCTTATACATTGCGATGTTTGCTTTCAATGGTACATCCCTGTAAATTCCACAAGTAGTCGAGCTTCACTCATTTCCCTGTCTAGCCATGATCTGTCTCATAATTTCATCAATTGACAACACTATACCAACTGTACTGACAACCACTGTACTCAAACTGTTACTTGAACTTAAGCGGTACCTCTTCCACCATCAAAGGTCGCTCCCAATAACCATTACCTCACCTTTCCCCAACCCTCTCTCTTTCATTAGCTTCATCCAATTAGCGTTGCAGCTCTTGAGCATTATATTGTCTATAAACATCATAACTTTAAAAATCCTGGTAATATTTTCTCCTTTTGTGAGGATATCACTATAATTTCACTATGTGAACTGCACCTCTCTAATTGTACATCAAAGAGGGCTTAGCTCCATAAAAGCCAATGTGCGCTCTCCAACCACTACCACTAAGCTGTCTCGATCAAGTCCTGAGATGTGATCTACACTTACTTGTACACCTCCTTGCTATAAACAATGTCATCGATAAAGATACAAATTTTGAGCAATGAAAATGAAGGCTTTAGCAATTAGTAATTCACTGGTAAAAAAATTAACATACAAGTTATTTATTTTGCTCTGCTTTTCATTGTATATTTACTCCATTCTTCCATTTTTACTAGTTCTAGGTATGCGAGAGGTTGTAAGATAGCATCTACTCACTTTTTTTGTTAATTAGAATAATACACTTTTTTGCACTTACTTTTAATTTTACACCTCACCATTCTTTGTTGTCTACAGCTAAGCAAATGTTATGACGGTAATACATCAATTTCCAAATATTAATAAAGCTTTTTCAATAGACACATAACTGTTGCTCAAAATACGTACTGAAATGTACGTATTTACATGGAATATTTGATAGGGAAATATCCATATTAATATTATTCGTGCCTGCTTATGACCTGTATAATTTTGTTTATAATTTTCATATGGAACAACTTGTGGAGGATATAGAATGTGAAAGCCTTAATTCAGTGAATGATAAGAAATTATGTATTTTATCAATGCAATAAAATATTTTGCCCTCCTGCTAGAAAAATAAGACCAATAGGCCTACAGAGCAAAATATTTCAAATACATGCAGTAATCTAATATTATTGACTGTGTCTGAAAACTAAATAGACCATTGTAATAGTATATTTTGATATTTTACACTTAAAACAAATCTTTTGTTGGCTACAGATCAAATTAAGGTATTTTTCCTTATTGTATTGGGTTTTACCAATAACATTTTCCTAATTAAGTAGATTCAACTAGTTGAGTAGGATTATAAAGTTTTTAGACACTTATTGAGCATATTCCATCACATGTTTCAATCAATAAATAGGCGTGTACGTTTAGAACACTGATGTAGAAAATACATCACTCAAATCTTATTTCAATTATGAACATTTGTAACATCACACGCATACATTCCAGGAATCTCTTTGGACCAAAACAATGATTATTTTTCTGCATTTTATATAGGTACACTATTTTTCTGTATTTTATATACACATTTTTCCCATATTCTAAGCTCATTCCTTTTACATTTTTTCACTGTTATATGTATTGATGTGTTCGTTTTTCTATTAGTTAACTGTAAGGGTAGTTGCGAAAAACATTGTTTAAAACGTGTACTTTGTAAGTAGCTTAAAATTTTCAGTTAACTGACTGACTAATATTGTCGGTGACAATGGATGATGTTGATGCAAACTGGTGTTTTAAGATACAAAATTAGTGTTCTTGCCAATAAGTAACTTAACTTGACTTTCAATTTGTTAATTCTGAAATTGCTTTCCTTGACAATTCCTTTTTACAAAATTGGAAATAATGTTGCACCCAAAAAATTCATAGGGTAAGGAAAAAGGAATATCAATGTTTTTAACAAACATACTACTGAGCTACCTCGGTATTTGAAAACACTAAAATTCAACTCATTAAACACCAGTTGCAGCCATCTTCTCTTATAAAACTGTTACTCAAATGTATTAGCATACCAGGATAGCTTGCTTAAATCAACATGATACTCAAAATGATTGAGATTTATACAAAAGGTAATACTCAATCCCACTTATTATATCCTGACTAAGAAATGTTAAAAGATCAATCAGTCGGTTTTTAAATTTAGTTAATACTTTCAAACAAACAATAATTTTGTTCAATGTTGATTGTTTGTTTAAGTTAAGATATTTGTTGTATTTGTTATATTTGTGTTCTTTTATAAACATGTAAACTTGTTTATTATAGAATAATTTTATCGTTTTGAGTAAGTGTTATTTGTTCTACCAACAATTCTACATTGTAGATATTGCTGTGTCTTAGGTACATCATTGCATTTATAACTCAGTCTCTTTCTTTGACATGTTTAATCATATCTGTAATCATCTCTTTAAATCAATGTAAATTTTTTGTTGATTGTTAAATCTTTGCCCTAAACCTATTTTGTTCTGTGTTTTGAAACTTAATTTAAATCTATTCCAAACGTGTTATAAATGCTTAGAGGATTCTGTTATATAACCTTCCTTATAGTATACTGCCTTTCTCATTCAATCAAAGTTTGATCACATCATAAATTAAAAGTATACTCTCGACCTTTGAGAATACACTTTGATCATTAACCTATCCAATCAGACTTTTAAAAAGAGTCAAATCAAAACCTTTACTAAAAAACTTGTTCCACTTTTTAATCATACTTTATTAGTTCATTGAGTTCAGGGTGAGCCGTTAATGCAATTGTTGAATGCCAGCTGAAGCAATTCCTGATTAAAGCTGTTATCGTTACCAATGTGTGCCTTCAGCGTCCCGTGACGGTTAGTGTCTTCCATGTACCTGCCTCACATAAACCTTACACTTTGAAAACTGTTGTAAGAGTGATTTTAGTGTCTTCTGTTTCATAAGAAACCTCCTATATCAAATACAATCTTCTACCTGTAAAAATGTGTTTGTGATATATGTATTTTTACTAAATGTTATGTAGATAGTAGATTTAATGGAATTCTATTTCGAATAAACTCAGTTAAGATTTTGATGTAAAGTTTGTTACATTCTTGCAGGGAAATTCTTTAATTGGTAAATTAAAGTGAAGATTTCTTTTTGAGTAAAAGTTATATTAATTTTGGTTAAAATGTTTTTGTGTTGTTAATAGTTGACAATTAATTCGATTAAGACAAAGCCATCAGAACAAGCATTACATTTACTGCAAGGGATTTTATTAATTATATCTGATCTGTTTCTAAAATTTGGTTAGGTTTACTCTTGTTAGCCTGTATATTGTAAGTTTTTATCTAGGAAATGTTACTTATAATAACTATCATAAAAGCATCCATTCCTTGTGATCCATGAGGCCTTAACAGATGTATCTTTGTATTGTTAATATGATCCAACTTAATTGCTACAGGGATTTTAAAAGTTGTCCACATCGTTTATAATATAACAATACAATAGGGTAAGATTGTTTACACATAGCATAGAGAATCAATTTTTCTAAAACTTCGTCGTATAGTAACATATACTTAATTAATTTTTTTGATATTCGCTCTAACTTTTAAGCCTGATTCCCATCGCAGCTAGTGTAAAAAGTATTTTTCATAAAAAAAGTTGTCAATTGTGACTTTTCATGTTTGGCCTAAATGATCTTGTAGCGTCAATTCACATATACTTTTAGCAACTAACATTTTTATAGTTAGTGATGGTGAGCTTTTTTGACCTACCTGTTGTATAGTGACAATTGACATGTCTTCCATTTGCAGCTATTTGTAGAGGCAAGAGCTTTATATCCGTTGTATTTTAATAAAAATAAAATATTAATCTTCACTGTTATTATTAACCTAGTCCTAACTATCTTTTCAAGTTAAGGGAATAACTTCTTGATCAGCATCGTACGTGTTATTAAATTACTTGAAAAAAGCAAAAATATATACAGTACGTCTAATAAAACTTGTAATAATATATTTACACTTATACTGTTGACTTACAAGATGGTAAATACATATAAAAGTTAGTAAATGGTGATCGATTTCGATTGGACACTCCAATCATCATTAGACCCAATAGGCGACATACCTATTTCACACCACCTGTTATTCGCCTATTGGGTCTAATGATGATTGGAGTGTCCAATCGAAATCGGTCACCACTTACTTACTTTTATAAGCTATGTATTTACCGTCTTGTAAGTCAACAGTATAAGTGTAAATATATTATAACAAGTGTTATTAGACGTACTGTATATATTTTTGTTTTTTTCAAGTTAAGGGTGTAGCATAGAGCACAAGGGTCTAGGTTATTAGGATTTTTTGAGAGGATAGCAGGTTTACCTGAATGGAAAAAGAGTCCAAACTGGCACTGGAAACACAAAACTTGACAACTATAAACACAAAACATTAGAATATTTCACTGTCACTGACAGCATTTTCAACTAAGGAAGAGAGTTTTCTACAGGTCCAAAATGGTCATGTCCATCTTTTCAAGTTATTATTTTTGTGTAGCATGTGTTAATCATTTCCTGTGCAAATTCCGTTAATGCAATTTTTGTTTGAAGAGCAATGGTAAATTTGCAGATCATCCCTTAAATCCCCAAAGTCCATATATGATACATGACGAACATAACTTACCTTAACTTTCAACTTGGTAACAAAAACTGTATATGAGTTAAGTGTTTGTTGAAAATGTGCATAAGGGATGAAGGGGGTTTACAATGTTTCTAACGGTGTAAGCTGACTGCTGCGGTTCATCAGTCTTGTTTGAGGCAATGACCAAAGTTAGGGGAATTTTGCATGTGGATCACAATGTGACTAGTTGAAAGAGATTACCTGGGGGCGTTTTTACAAGACTGCCAAGGACCCTGGTAGTCTTAAAACGTGACAATCAATAAGCAAAGTTTCCTTAAATTTAGTCACCGTCTCAATGGAAACTCATGAACGACCGCTCCTGGCCTCAGTGTGTAAATATGTACTGCCTCATGCAAAATCCCTAAGCCACTTATGTACATTTCTACATGCACATCCATTAACTGGTAGCGGATTTCTTTTACAAAGTTTTTGCCTACTATGACTAGACTAATAGGAGCAAGAGCTGGAATAGTAATGGACGAGGTTGGAGATTTCAACTAGCTTGCTTGGCCGCAACGGGACTTTTAGCATTAATTAATTTACAGACAGCTGTTGTACTTCTTCCAAGGATAGGTGTCTTAAGTGACAGTGCAACTTGGCAATTTTATTGTTGTTTTGATATTCCATCACAAATCTCTTCTTTAAAATCAGTTGAGAATAAAGTAAACCTTTTGAGCTCACGCACAATCCCTTTTTTTCTTAAAGAGTGAAATTATCTATACGGGCTTTAACAAATCAGCATTTCTGATTTGGATTTCTTATCTGGTATTCAGTCTGAATTCTAACATAATCAATGCCTGTGTTTTAGCAGGTTTCTGTACAAACCAAAGGTTGAGAAGGGAGGTCTTTTAACTGAACCTCCCCTATTGCATTATTGATATTATTCTTACAGTGATGAAAGACTAGCTATTATATTATTTATACCATGTGTTGCACTGGCGTAGTTATTGACTCGACTACTCATGGCTTCTTAGAAAGGAAATATAAATATTGATAATCACATAGCGTGAAGACCTAGCAGTGCTACTGTAGAACTCTAGTGCCTCATCCCTAACTGTTAACTGTATGCCAGTCTTTCACTAGTCCAATATAGGCCATACATGGGTGGAATTGTGTGAGAAGTAATTTATTTGAAAAATAACCTTGTTAATCATCTACTGACATTCGACAATTCTCGACAACCTTGGTTTCAATCCACTCGTAGACAGATGCATATTTGAAGTTATTTATTGATGAACATATATTCTTTGACATTTTCTCATCGCAATAGTATTCATAAACATGACAGAGTCAGTATTCATAAACATGACAGAGTCAGTATTCATAAACATGACAGAGTCAATCTTAAACATTGAAATGTGTAAATAATAATTTGGGTTTTAAAAAAAAAATTGGGAATATTAACTAATGTTTTTATTCTGGTGGTTCTGTCATTCTCCATCTTATTTTATCGTATATAGATTAATCACATTATGTTTTAAAACATACTATGGTGGTATTGGGATCTTTAAATGAGATATGAAAATATAGAACTCGAAACAACCAAACTGCTCAAACTGATTATGTAAATGCAATGAAATCAACCAATTTTGAAAAAAGTAAGAAAGTAACATATTTTGGAAGGCTTAGGAGGCTCAGGCCCTCAGACTTATTATACTGTAAACTATATTTCAATTTTTTTTTTATTGGTTTAAATATTGTAGTTGAAGACATTCTAATTCTAGTTTCTGAACAGTTGCAGTATTGAAGAACGGTGTAAGGACAAGTATAATCTCAGCCACAAATCATTTGGAAATCAATTCCATTTTATGTTTGTAGCAAGTTTTTTGTATGTTTGTACAATAAACTTTTCAATTTAAAATTGTAAGTAAGCAAAATTATAAATTTGAAAAGTTTAAAGTTTAAAACCCATGTTGAGTTTTCTGTAGGAGTAGGATTGTTTTGGAGCCCTTATGTAAAACCCTGACTCCTAAAAGTTGGACCTTCTGCAAAACTCTATAGTTGCTATGTCACAGTGGAGTAGGTAATGAATTGAGGGAAATAATTTTTTTTTTTTAAATAATTTTACATGTTTGCAAAATGATCAGTGTAGCACAATCACAAAATATCAAATATTGTTACTGTATTTAAGTTGTCGTATAGCATTGTATTGGAGAGAAATCTTTACAGAGAAAGTAAACTTCACTCTAAATACCTTTTTTGTTTCCTACAGGTTAAGACTCAGAACCCCCATGTTATGATATTTCATAACCAATGGATATCCGGTGATTGGTGATAAGTCCCTTGCTAGTATATCAGCGATTCACCAAATTATATCTCCTAAATCATTTATTCAATGTTTATTAATCAACATATACATATAAATTGGCCCTCAATAGAACATTTAACATCAGTAAGGCAGCTGATATTGCTGGGAGATTATAGGCGTGACTTCCTGCCTCCAAAGTCATAGTTGTTTAGCACCATTAGGTGTGAGTTTGGGTTACATTTTTTGCTTTGAGCAAAACACATAATTCGATAAATAACATCCCGTGAATTTCAGCAACTGCAAAAACCATTAATATTCCTCCAGTCAGTGTGAAATCTAAAATTCAAAAAATCAGAAATCTGATTAAATAAAAACGCTTAGCTGTGGGGCAACATAATTGAGATACTGATCAATGACAATGTCAAATCAAATCAAAATCTGTTATCATAGTCAGACAATATGCATTGTATTATATATGTCTACTTAAAATACTTCTAAATATAAAAAATTAATAATGCTAATAGAGTACAAAGCTGGTACTATATAACACTGATAACACATAAAAGTAATAAATACAGATCAGGTAGCTTAACCTTTTTTTATCAATTGGGCTGTTCAAAAAATTCAGCAACAGAGTATCATGCGCGGTCTAAAAGGTATTTTTTAACTTCATTTTAAATTTCGCTTCCGACTAAGGATTGTAGATTGGCTGGTAATTTGTTAAGTAGTTTTGGCCCGAGATTTTGAGGTAATGATGCAGCTAATTCCAATCTATGAGAGGTTTGTCTATGATGGTGTCTTTGCCTGGTATTATAATTATGAATATTTGCACCGGTTACTATTGTTGTTGATTTAAACTTATAATATAATAGAATTTCAATAATATATATCGAAGGTAACGTTAGAATTTCAAAAGATCTATGTACTATGATAACTTCGTAAAGGTGCTTTGTACACGTTTTTCTACAGACCCCAACTTTTGTGGACGAATAATATGTCTGGTTACTTAAAACTATGAGCTCATACACTAAACATGATTTACAAGTATAACTTATTCTTAATGCCTTTCAACTTTTGTTCACTTCTCTTTGTATTGTTACAAAGGAACGTTAGTGTCTAAAGTCCAATGTTTATTTAGTTCGCTTTAAAATGTCTGAAAACAAAATTTATAATATCAAACAAGAATAGCGTTTGTTTGTGGTCACAATTTCCTTGTTTGGCTTGTAATTGGTGACTGAAAACGTTGTGAGAATAAGTTATAGCACTTTCCATCAATGTGGATGCATTTTGGCCCTGGATGTTACAGTGGGATCAGGATGAGATAGAATATGAACACATATTAAAAATTAAATCTGCTATTCAAACAACACTTTAGGGCCTAGCTTAAAGTAGCAAACCTAAGTCCTTAGTCGGTTTGAAATGTACGGTTTCTTTTGCAGTCTTTCTGATTTTTTCCTTCATACGAATATTTCTTAATTTTTTCAAATAAAAATCTCATTTCTTCTTCAATAAGGACTCTCTCATTTTCTGTGTCTGTTGACCTAATATTATGTCTGCTTGATGGTTCCACAGTTATGCTCAAATTTGTCTGGGCAGACCTTAGTAGCTCCAACCAAGAGACCAAGGAATAAAATTGTTTTTTTTTTTCCTTTATTTTACTTGGCTAAGGTTATATTTTCTTTTATAGACCCTACTGTCCTATTTTGAATCAAAGTTCGAAAGGTCATTTTCATCATATTTTTTAGAAGATATTGGTAGATTTAAAGATGGTTTTGATATGCATGTGCTATGAAAATTTAAGTTTTAGTAACTATTTGTTAGTAGTTTGTTTTAAGTCTGAAGTTAATTTTTGCTTATGATAAGTATATGTCACTATAACCAGTAACCTTCAGCTACCTTCTTGTAAAGAAGTGCACTGGTGTTCACTTAACCTCTTTTGGTGCTGATAGTTTTTTCACTCAGGATTAATTTTCTTTTTTCTAATCCTAATTTATGTTTTAGGCACTTTCTAACATTATAGATTCAGAAAACATATAGATCATGATTTTTTTACTCAATGTGATAAAAAAAACATGTCTGCAATAATCCCTAAAAACATATTTTAGAGTCTCAATTTTGTAGAATTTTCTATTTGGGGAAAAGCAGTGACTTCCATACAATGTGTAAACAGAAATATATGAAATCATCTTTTAGGCAAAAAAAGTTCTCTCAGGTTTGTTCTGCAGGTTTAATTGTTGTCAGCCCCTTGTACAGTTGCGCGTGTTGTAAAGTGCGCGCGCGCGTATGTGTGTGTGTTTGACGCCGCGCCGGGACGCCGAGGTAGTCAGTGCCGCTCTCCCGACGCCGACATGCCGCCTCCCCGACGCTCGTCCCTCATGTCTTACACGCCGTCCTCCAGGCGGAACAGTTCCAACAAAAGTGAGTATTTCATTTGTGTGCAAAAATAACTCTAACCGACTTCTTTTTAGCATTATGGACATGTTTACAGCATATCCTTATTTTAGATTTTTCTGAGTGTTGTGATTGCATTCCACGATAATTTTTGTACCCAAAGTAGTAGATAATCTTATAACATAAAAGTAACACTGGAGTGTACAACCTTTACAGTGATTTACTATTTAATTGTTTACGAACGAGGTTTTACTAATTAGATTCTACTAATGGCAATCTTCTGTTTAGGCTATGCGTAAGTACAATTCAACAAGTAAAAGTAGATATACATTTTAATTTAAGTGTTTCTGTTTACTACATAATTAATTATTCATCAGTCCTAAAGTATCACTAACACGATTTTGTTAACAATTGTATCAAGAAATAAGCTATAATTTTGCAAAATAAGAACATTGAATTAGCAAATTAGTTTACCAGTTTTCCCTTTTTAGTCAAATGAATGTTGTGATTTGATAACGTGTGTAATAGTATCAATCATAGTTCCCAACTTTAAAAAAGATTTTTAATTACGGTAAATTTTAAGGATAATCTTTTTCCATTTATTCTACGTGGGCCATTTTCAGTATACAGTATTAAATGGGAGATTGTTCCATTTTAGCGAATCATCGCGTAGTCCCCGCGAAACTGTGAGGCCCTCTACAGTAGGCCTAGGACCACTGCATTTTTTAAGTTTCATGTCCCCTATGATTCACGTTTCTAAGAAATCTTTGAACTTGATTTATATCCTGCCTACTAACAAGTGCAGATCACACAAAGGTTGCTTTCAATGTTAATATTTCAAAAACAATTTAACTGCTGCAACTTGTTTATTGATGTATTTTGCCATAACAACTTTTCCGTGTACTCCGTGTAACACCAAACCTCAGTACTCAAAGCCTATATTTGTTTGTTTTCCGCTATTTGTAGTTACCCTGTGTTATTTGTTGCTAGCCAGACTTGGATTAACCTGAAATATTTGTTTTACTTTGAACTTATTTGAATTAGGGAAGCAGAGCGAGTGCCAGCCTATTTTGGCCTTTGGGGGTAAACTGTCAAAACCGTCAGATAGGCCCGAGTGCCAGTTAAAGCGTAAGATTGGTTCAGGGGAGGGGTAGTAGTGGAAGAGGGTGTTGTTGGGCAGGATGTAACGGAGACCGGGTACAGTTTCTGGGCTGCCCTAAGATTGAAAATATCGATTTGATTATTAAGCCCTCATTAGATTTTTTTTCACAGGTTTTTTTCATCCTGCCCCCTTGGTTGACCCAACGATCACATCTTTAGTTGCCCTTCCCACCCTCATATACCCGCCACACCGTGGAACGTGGAACCGGTCACTGATACCTGGCTGGCACTCGCACCGCCAAGCCTCAGTCTGTAAAATGACCCTCGTCATAAGTTTTTAGGCAACTAGCACTCGCCCCTGCACTCTTTGAATTAAAATTAATTAATAAATAATACAACAAATCTGGGAATTAATGTTATTTGCAGTTTTTTGCGAAGTGATGGAATATTGTTTTGTCCTACAGCACAAATAACAACAATCGTTATATTTGAATTTCAACAATGGATTGTTGGCAATGGCAATTTTCTTCATCGAGTGGTACTTTATGTTGAATAGAAATACTTTACACTAAATAAACAGATTATACTTTTCATCTTTAACACATGTTTCGTTTAACAAGTGGATGTATGTATGCTCAAATCATAGGTACCATTCCTAACGTGAGCGACTTAAAAATGTCACACAACATGCAAACGTAATGTTTTCACACAGACGACACAGTTCAAGGCGTGAGACCACAAACAGTACACGTGAATCTCTAAAGCCATCGTCCATTGAAATTAAATAAATAAATAAATAAATGATATTTAATTTCATTTCAATATTTATTTCCATTGAGTGCGAAAATGTATATTAGTAATGCATCTTTAACGCAACTCGTTACCTAAACCAACTCAACTGCGTAGGACGCACGTTTTGAGGGATTTACGCACTTAATTCTGTAATATTATTGAAACCTTTGCTGTTTTGGGTCAAGTGTTCAGTAGGGAAAAACTATCTTGATTTCCCCGTTTGCATTCCAGCACACCTTTAGCGAATTTTCCATAGGGAATAAGCTATTAACGTAGATCTCGTGGTAAGACCTAGACCCAGGACCGAATTACTTTTCGTTTTGAGGTCCCCAGAGGCCAAAAACAACCCCCGGTCAAATTCATATCTATATATGACAAGCACTACACTATATACACTATATATATATATATACACTATATACTCGAGCAAAGATGATCCGATTTTGATGAAATTTGGTACAAACGTGTAAGCTTACGTTTATTCGAACGAGAGTTTGCGAACCATCGTGATGTGACTAATGAAACGGGGGTTTATGGGGTAAAAATTGGGTTTTCTCATTTTTGACACTAAAAACACAAATTTCGCAATTTATTTCCAAACCATTTTGTATAGCTTAAAAAAATAAATTATTTTGTATATTGAAGCGTTGTTGTATTTCTAACAATTACAGAGATAATAAAAAAATTTAATTTAAATTCCCACGTTATTCTTATGGAGAATAAAAAACTGTCGTAGTTTGCTTCTTTATGGATATACTCGTATTTTAATCAAATTTGACAATTTTGTTTATTTAATACTAAGCTACATTTCAATAAAAAAATACCTCAATACCTTCCCTGTAGCAGCAAACCTAAGTACTTATTAAAATGAATAATATTTAAATAGGAAATAAATCTGACAATTTTAAGGGAATATTTTAGTAGACATCCAGCCAGGTAAATGGAAATTCGCTTGGTCTGCAGGTTTGCTGTGGCGGAGGTATTTTTTTTAGAACCCTAAAATCGTCATCTGGCAAGGCAATAGTAACAATCCTGTGTCTTCTGACGGAATGCACTGGGCTGACCAATACACCAGGAGAAATGTATCAAACTTGCCAAAGACATAAAACAGGCAAAACACCCATGTTGTAATCGATCTCGTGGGACATACTATCTTAAGGTTCATAACGGACATTTCCTGTCACAATTAGTGAATATCCCCGCCGCAGCAAACCTGCACACTAAGCTAATTTCCATTTGCCCGATTTGATTTTCAGTTAAATCTACAGTATTTAAATAACATAAGTTTTAACGAGTAGTTAGGCTTGCTGCTGCAAAGAGGGTAATAAAGAGTGTTTTTTGTAAAATATTAATTAGCTTAGTATAAAAAATTTTCCAAGTTTGATCAAAATATATCAATAAACAAGCAAACTGCAACAGTTTACTTATTTCCTATAAGAATAACATAGGAGTTTTAAATTTACAATGTTTTTAAATTTCTTCGTAGGTAATCAATAATAGTAAAAAAAAAAAAAAAAAAAAAAACACTTCAATTTATTATTTATTTTTAAGCTCTAAAGAATTGTTTACAGAGAAATTGGAAAATGTTGTTTTAAGGGTAAAAAATGAGAAATGCCAATTTCTACCATATAAAACCCCGACCCCACGGTCTAATCATGCTGGTGCGTGAACTCGTTCAAATAAATTTAGGTTAACACGTTTGTACCAAATTTAATCAAAATCGGATCATTTTTGCTCCAGTTATTGTACTAACATTTTGAACGGATTGGGATTTTGGCTTCTGGGGACATCAAAATGAAAAAGTAAATCGGTCTTGGGTCCAGGTTTTACCATGAGACCTACGGTAATAGCTTATCCCCTATATGGGAAATTCACTTACACCAAGTATTTGCAACGTTTCGTGATCTTGTATTTGATTCTGTCTTTAGGTGACAAAGTACCTAAAACATAACAAGAAAATAACACAAACCCAACCAAAGCAAGACAATCACACGAGTCACACCTCACAGAGAACTGTATAGTCAAACAAGGCATAAAACGTAAAGTATAGAAATAATATTAGGCCCTACTTCAATGGCAAACAACTAAACATTCACATTATAGGCACGTTTGTAAAATATGGTGACTCAAGCGAGACTAAATGAGGTATTTTCTCGCCTATCGGCGGGATAAGATTCTAGATCACAAGATCAGAAACGTTGTGAATACTTTTTTTATACTAATGGAAATGTCCGCAATATTCCCTCAATTAACATTAACTTACCATCGCCAAATATGATCACAGAAAGTATGCTATGTGTGAATGTTATACAGAGTGTGTAACCCGTGAATTGTAAACCACAAGGTGTTCTAGCATTCAGTTATAAAATTCTTCCTGTATGCAATAAAGAACACAATACCTCTTTTAGAACTGTTTGGCCTTCTTAACAAACAACCCAACAATCGTTACGATTCCGATGCTTCCCTTAACGCGAGGCGAGGTTGTCGACATCCACTCTCGGAGCTCGAGACGCTCCCAGCCGCTGCTTTGATGTTAACAACTCCAGATGGTTCATGTCTTTCACTGAAATCCATCGTACACGAACAAATATTGCCGTTGGAGAAGCGGCAGAAACGGCGAGTCGTGTGTAAGCTAGTAAATGGAGTGTAAATACGTCACATTATGGGGCCTTTGACACGTTCGCGCTATTTTAAACCCGTCAAACTAAAATGTGGTACAATATCTAAAAATTGTTTTGACGAGTGTCCATTTCAACAGGTTTATTGGATGAGGAACATTTCTCCGGGTGTAGATTTTCGCGATAAGTTCTCTTTGACAAAAGCGCTTCAATATGTGAATATTTTTAAAATCATTTTTCATTGTGATATCTTCGGTTGTTGAAGATACAGAGTTTTGTTGTGGAATTTAGATTGTTGAACAATACTAAGCTAATCAAAATTAATTTTAGAACATTCTGATTAGCTATCCTCAGTCTGTTCTGGAACATAAAGGCGGCAAAATGAGATTTAAGTTACACGATGGAAAACATAGCAAAAACATTGAATCATTTACATAGCCAATTAACTCGAAGAATGCAGTTCTTATTTGGTGAAATCTGAGTATTGGCGGTTATTACTGATATTGGCGATGTGGGATTATAATTGGCTAATCATAGGCCAAAATTAATTGTTTAAAGTTGTTGCCAACAACAATTAAAATACGTAGTCAATACTACTTTAGTGACATAATCTGTGGACCCATTACACCTGCAGTTTCACATATTAATGTTTCAGGAATTTTATTTCATAACATTTTGTTATGAAACTATAATTTTGATTTTTGACGAATAGTGTTTGACGAATATGTATTCTACTTAAACGATTTAATCACTCAAATAAACTATGAGACCTTTTTAATATTCATCTTAACCCAAGCAATGCTCATTTATTTTAAGGATTATTGGGAAAATAACACTCTGTTCAGTATGTAATTTGACCTTCTTTCTGTTTAAAACCACGACCGATATTTAACGACGATGTTTAAACAGCAGTCAGAATTCAGAATAGGTTGTTTAACACCAACATAAAAATAACTGGGCTTCACACATCGCAAACAAGTATCCATGTTATTGTACACGTATCATTTCAATTCATATAAATCACATTCGTGGTTTATATCTGTGTTTTCCTACAAACAATCTGAAACAGTATAAAATTTAACTCCCCCGAGTTGAATGAAAGGCCTTGATACGAAACTTCTCCGAAAAATATCAGTTTTTCGATTAACCCTCTCCTAACCTCCAGCTGTTGGATTTGTATTTGTAACTTTATTAATAGTTCTTTGTTTACTTTTCCTTGACTCAACCTTGTGATTCTTCCATAGATTTCTATATTGCATCAAGAGAAGTGACTAATGTGGGATGGTGTTCGAACCTTTGAATTCTGTTTCAATTGTTTACTTATTAGTTCAGTATTATACCGGATGTTTCAAAAATCAGTAGTATTAATCTTTTTTTGATGTATTATTGTTTTATTGAAACTGAATTTACACTACACATAGGTTGTAAACTTAAAAGAATTGTTCAAAATGCTTTCCAATAACTTCAATGCATTTTCACAGCTTTTAGCGAATTTCCTTATAGGGAACAAGTATTACCGTAGGTCTCACGGTAAGACTTAGGTCCCGGGACCGATTTACTTTTTCATTTTGATGTCCCTAGAAACCAAAAACACCATCCGTTCAAATTCATATATATATGTGTGTGTGTGTGTCTGTTAGCACGATAACTCGAGCAAAAATGATCCGATTTCGATGAAATTTGGTACAAACGTGTAAACCTACGTTTATTCAAACGAGTTCGCGAACCAACATGATCGGATCATGGGAACGGGGTTTTATGGGGGGGGGGGATTTATGGGGTAAAAATTGGTTTTTCTCATTTTTGACCCTCAAAACATAAAATTTCCCAAATTTTCTCTAGACCATTTTGAAGAGCTTAAAAAACAAATAATTCAGTATATTGAAGTTTTTTTGTATGGTTATTGGTTACGGAGAAAATTGTAAATTAAAAATTCCCATGTTATTGTTATGGAGAATACGTAAACTGTTGTAGTTTGCTTGTTTATGCATATATTTAGATCAAACTTGGCCAATCTATTTATTTTATACTAAGCTATTAATATTTTACTAAAAAACACACTTTATTACCCTGTAGGCAGCAAACCTAAGTTCTCGTTAAACCTAATGTTATTTGAATAGATTTAATTGCAAATCAAATCAGGCAAATGGAAATTCACTTAGTCTGCAGGTTTGCTGCGGCGGGGGTATTTTTACACTTGTAACAATCTTTTTGCTTAGATTTTGATTGTTTTTTAAAGTCTTCAAGTCTTCTTCTTTTTTTTAAGTCTTCAAACTCTCTTGCGATGGCTGCTCTCAATTGCAGAAGAACACCTAGGTTCGACAAAAACTTTATTTTTAAATATCCTCAAAACAGAAAAGTGTAAACTGACTTATGAAACACCCTGTATATTTTAAAAACACAGCAATTTATGTTGGACCCACATGTTGTGGATACAATTAAGTGGCACGAGGAACATAGAGTTTGGAGGAGCCTCGTATGTTCCAGCTTGTAAAAACGCATCTGCAGAGTATTTTACCTTGTAAAATTGATTTTGGATAATGATCAAACTAATTTAGATCAAGAACAAGCGAATAATAATCAGCAGTTTGCATTGGACAAGGTGGTGTAGAACCACCATCTTCTCTGCGTTCTCTCCCCGTGGCACGGGCAGAACAACTAGAAATTCGCGGAAATATAAGGGCCCACCTTGCACCTCTTGCGCAAGACTACTGATTTTCAGATCTCATATGGTTGGTAGTATTATTCAAGTATATACCAAAAACTTGATACCTTAAAAATACAGTAATTAAATCCGTCAGCGATAATTGCGAAAATTCGATACCGTGGTATTGAGAAATCGTGCGTCTGATTTGTTACCTACTTTCATACCCAACTGTATATTTATTTTTCAATTCAATGCAAGGATTTTTTTGTTGAGGTTGTAATTTCACGAAGTACCTAACAATTTTGATTCCCCAGACAAATTGTCACGACTATGATTACAATTGACAGATGTTACGTTAGCCACTCTCCTGGGGGCAGTTAAAATACAATTCTGGAGCTGGGTTTTTATAGAGTTACTACAATCACTATAAAAGTACAGAAACCTCACTCTCATAATAACCAGTAGACTTCCGGTGTAATTGAGAAAAAAGTCATTAGTTTTTTATGGTTTAAAATTGGGACCGGCTCAAAGATCATTGAGATTTTAATCATTGCTGGCTAGAAAATGTCGCCGATCTTAGTTTAGCAATGCTACTCAGGTAATCTCTTCTCACTCCTACATTCCACTAGTTGAAATCGTCGTACAAAAGACGTCATATCTTGAGAATCGGTCGATTGATTGATCGATAATAAATACTCGATGTCTTAAGTTGTTTCAATTGACGCGCTCGATTGCCGAGCAGAATGTTGGCAAGTTGCCCAACATGATCTGTGATTATTTGGAACGTCGATCACTCAACTCTCCTCTCAAACTTTGCTCTTTCACCTTGGTTCATTCCTCTAAACAATCAGATACTTCAATCTAACATGCCCTATTTTTGTTATAAATTATGACAGTGTGTAGAACCGATTTTGTATTGTATTTTCGCATCGTTAAAAATAACCGTGTTTGTTCGGGGCGTATTTGATGAATACAGTTGCTATAGTATTCAATATAAACCGAGTCAAATATAGAAACGCACAAATAAATTAATACAAAACTAAGAATCCAAATCCTACTACAGAATAAACAGATTTTGTTACTTTTTACCGTCATACAGATTTACGGTTTTCAATTACTATAGTTTCAAGGCTTGAGTTGTCCCATTGCTTCTCTGTTGAACACCTTTCATCAATATACGTAAAGTTTAAATGCTCAATAAATAAAAAGGAAGATTTGTCGATGAGGCAACCAACTGAGCCTTGAAACTAACTACAGTCATGGAAAAACTTTGAGGATTGACGGTGGAAAAAGCTAACATGTTTATTTAGTATTGGTTTTTAATCTATGAGGGATATGTAAATACGGTAACACATAAGGTTAAGTATGTAAATAAGAAACATACAATGCACTCTAACAAATATTTCCGATCCTGAAACTCTTACTTACCAAAGCAGTACTCTTGTAATTAAAGCTTTGAATGATTTCGTTTAGCATGTGTTCACACCCTAAGCTTCATAAATAAAAACAGCATATTTATCAAACATAACATCCAAAATATTTATCTAGAACAAAATTATAAAAGATATATATGGCAATCAATAGCAATAAACTCAAAGATAACACATTAAAGAAAGTAAACTAAATTATAAATTGTAATTTACTTTCAGACTAAAAGGATGATAATTCACAGGTGGTTCACAGAATTCCCGAAGCCACCTTCATAGATGGATCCCGAATTTGTTAGGTAAGGTAAGATGAGCTTTTGCTTATTATCATACGACTACTGATTGTTAATTTTTAATATTGTATGCTTACTGTGAAAACACTATCCTTGAATTCTCTATGTACTGTCTTTGGCGATTGAGATGTGCACTGTACGTGTACTTTATTCATGAATAAAATATGTCTATGTCTAGTTTTAAAAAATCTAGTGTTGATCCACCTAGCTTTTATCGGGATTAATGACTTCTTGGTTAGCTTTTCACGTTTTGCCGTTATCATGAGAGTGATACAATTCGTTTTCCACTGATTTCAAGACATCAATAATATTATACTATACACGTTTACAAGACGGTAAAACATGTTAATGTAGTGATCGATTTCGAGCAGTCACGCAGAGATATATCGCCATTGTAACATATTTGAAATGTTTACAGAAAAAGTTAACATAAAGAAAAAAACGTTGGAGGACGTATTTTATTATGATCCTTCGTCAGAGTCTCACTATTCCACAATATTCATTTTATTATTTTTTTTTTCAATTAACAAAAGTACAGCTCATGCACAAAAGCTATTTCCACCATCGATTGTAACAAAATATATAGAAATAACTCCTTTGAATATCCGTAATGATACATAGGCCCATTGTAAATTTCAAATCTTTGCACCACCTTTGTGTTGATAATATATTTTTTTCACACTTTCCTAGATTGACATTCAACACAATACACCATTTTCATTTCATGTACCTCGTGAGATTGTTGGAATATTTTTAATGAAAAATGTTGATTGTTTTAAAAAGTTCTTAATTTACCTTTTGGAAAGATGGTATACATGGGGTTTATAAAGTCTATCAAACCAATTCACGTATATCTCAGCAAATTCTCACAGTAACTGTACAATACTAGAAATTAATGATGTATTCAGCGATTCTGAACTAGCTTCACTTTCGTCGTAAAACCGCTTTCAATGGTTGATGTTGTAATTCCGTAGCCAGTGAATGTTTCGGCTTCCTATTACTAAGTAAATATGTTCATAAAACCCAACACTTAAATCTATTTTGATAAACAAATAAGCTAAAGTAGTGTGATTAGTGAATAACATTAATTAAAAACGCCATTTTTGGTTGGACCTACCTCTGAAGTTATTTAAAATATCATACAAATGTTGCATTTAAATTTAAAAAAAAATCAATAGTTGATTAGTGATTTGAACAACACACAAACTAAGTAAATTTAGTCCAAATGTAGATTTGGGTGTACAATACGCAAACGCACGTTGGGTATAATTTGTACATTATCCGCAATATTACAGTAGTGACAGATGAATGCTTATTAAATGATAGTGTTATTTTACAGGTATTTTTTAGGGTAACGTTACTCGGTCGGTAGTTTGTAGGCGTGGGACTGTTAATAAGCCCAATATCGATTGAATTTCAATTAATTTACTCCAATAATTAATTTTTGCATCCAATAATTTACTCCTAATAATACATTTAAGGGTGGAACGTTGCATAACTTATCATCATAATTTTAAATTGCATTACTGAAGTTGTAAATACAAATATTATTAATGAGAATAACACGTATATCTTTGTTAAATAATAGATCAATCGCTTCTTATTATTTCATATTGTTATGTTGTGTTGTTATTCTTTGGGGATGGTAGTTTTAATATTGCTTAATTTGAATTTAAGGACAGTTTTTTTCACCCAATACCCAACCAAAAAGGACCCGGGTAATCGGGATTGTACAGTCTATGCTGTGGAATATATTGCTCCACACTTGTCTATATATATATATAACCAAGTTGTATGTTTATATGACCCTCTGACCCAAACGTATAGAGGAAACTACTCGATAGATAAAACAAATAAAACACCACCTTGAATAACATCAATTAAATAAATACCCGCAAATTAGGCGTTGTATTCCCCAAGGTAACCGTTGGATAATAATTTAGAATAATTCAAGTTTCGATAATTTCTTATCGAATTAAAAATCCTAACCAATGGTTCTTAATTTATTACTAAGAAACTAATGTTCAAAAGTCATAGTGTTTTAAACTGGACAAGGACAACTAAATACTACCGAGTTTATATACAATAGTATTACGATATTGTTTTTAATCAAATCAATCTTTTATTAATGTATATAAGTTAAATTTTTACTTTACACTTCATGAACTAATTGGGCTAATTGGCAATAGTTAAGGTATTTCTTGTTCGGTCTTGACAATTAACTTACAAATCTGGTATCTCATTTTAGGGGTCGGAGGGGGGCCCTTTCGTGCAAACGGCTTTGAAACGAAACGATTTAACCCGAACTTTTGAGCCGGGATTTTCTTCCAAAAATATTTATGGTATATTTTCCCTGCGATCTTTATTGGGATTTTAATCCAACCGAAAAAAGTTAAATATTGTTTAGTCTTCGATCATAATAATTAATATGCATTATGTTTATGACAGAAGTGAAATGCCTATCCAACAATCTGTGGCCCCAAAACATAGATCCTGACCCATATCGACTAATGAGAAATGTCTGGTTGTTTGTAAATATGTCAGAACAGTTTTGATCGAAAGAGCTGTAAGTATAAACAGCTGGGCCAGACAAATGATATTCCTAGAGATCTTTACCGTCGTCGACACAACAACACACCGACAGATTGTCCGTTGCACGTTAAAGCGTGGAAATAGATTTGGAAGAATGGTAAGCGGTTATTTTTAAAGCAATTCTGCTGTCAGAGTAGCTTCATCCCGTCGGTTAGTGGTCAAGTTGTGAGCGGAGCAGCGGACGGCTACATGTATAATAATTGTAGTAGAGCGTAGAGAGGACACCTGATACGAACAGCGCAGCAGGGAGTCGGACCACGGAATAAAGACCGATCTTTATGTGGGGTAGCGGAATTCTACCTCCGTAAATTTACCCCCATGAAAAAACGCCTACCGGTACGTCATTTTGACGTCACGATGGCGGGGCCTATAGTCGGTTGACAAACAGCCCGCGACTGGAAATTTACCCCAATATATTATAACCAACATGTAATTGTTTGCTTATACAGTAATTTGCCATATTACGCAATGTTACCCCGGAAATCTACTTCCTAAAATCTACCCCCGTGGTCAAATAAGACAAGTCCGACAACGGAATTCTAGACCCGGAAATCTACCCCCCATAGTCGGCTACGCTACGTATCGACCTAGCTTCATTGTTGTTAATTATTTTAAATTTGGTAACCTAACCTACCCCGACGATACGTATAACGCATAAGCCAAAGGACCATGTAGACGAAAAATCAGGGTCAAACGAGGTCGCCAACCTCTTAAAAAAAAACTTATTGATTTTAAAACAATAACAAAAGTGGTATCAAATTGTCTTTACTAATTTTGTTTCTTTGTTTGGTGACAAACGACTAAAATGTTTGTGGGTACGCATAGTTTTTATATAGTCGGCAGATCTATGCACTGTTTTCTGAAATGATTAGCAGCAAATGTTGAAACTAAGATTTAATCTTTTGACCAGTGTAAAGAAACACATAGTCGAAGTTCACATCACATATGGGAGAAATCAAAACTGAAGAAATTTTCTTTCCCGATATGTTAATTGATATACAGGGTGTATATAAAATCTTTGGGTACACTTTGTATTTTTGTTTGTTATGCCAAGACAAACATTAACACCTAAAATAGATCTTAAATAAATAGCTCCTGTTTAAATGTCGTTCTCTTGATACAGTATTTCGTATACAATTTGGCAAATTCTACTTCACTAATTAAAATATGGTGGTTATTTAAAGTCATGCCAAATTTCAAAAATCTAAATTTCAGGTTTGGGGCTGAATTTCAGTTTCGTAATAATAATGGTATCAGGCATCTGACACATATTGTACTTTCTTCCATTAGCTTGTGAACAGTCTTATCATGAGTAAGCGGTGGGAGTAATATTTAATGAGGTGAATCATAAAAGCTGCAATAACTTTCAAACCGAAATTTGTTTAGCAATTGGGGTTGTATCATTATGTTTAGAGTAAAAAATACAATATAATACTAAATTTTAATCAATAGTCAAGCCGTTTTAAATCCGATTTTCCGTCATTTTATGGTTTTTTGAGGGGGAAATCACATTATTCCAACACCTTTTGAAAGGTAATTTTTACAGCAATTTCGGTTGTACCGTTATAGATGTAGTTATACAAATAACTATAAATTATATAATAACTAAATAACTATACAGGGTGAATTTTTAATGAGTTCCCCCCCTACTTTTTTCTACATTTCTTAAGATATCATCTCCGGACCACGTCAGATCATTGTTGAGTAGTAAGTACTTCATTTTGACTGGGTATACATTTTTGGCCGCCATCTTGGATCCGCCATATTGGATACAAAGTTTTTTTTTCCAAATGTAAAAGTAGGGTTGTGACCCATTATTTCAAACTAAAATTTTACGCTGATTACAATGCCGCAATTATTTTTTTAAAAATCTTGATCCGTTCTAAAGTTATTAGGACTTTTTATAACTTTATTTTTAGCTCATTTTAACATTGTGCATTAACAAACTAAGACCATAATCTCAAAATAGTGCTAGATAAAGATAAGTATACACCACCATTCATTGTCGACATATTTTCACTTGGTTATGACGGATGTAGTTTTTTCAGCCGCCATCTTGGATCCGCTATTTTGAAATGTGATCAATTAATTTAAATATGAAGGTGGTGTTGTGACCCATCATTTTGAACTACTTTTTTATACTGGACTCAATGCCGCAATCCGTTTTTGGTTATCAAGCTTTCTTGATGAAATATTAAAATACTCTTATTTAAAATTTCAATATTTCAAAATTCAAAGATGCAAATAAAAAACGGATTGCAGCATTGAGTTCAGCATAAAAAAGTAACTCAAAATGATGGGTCACAACACCACCTTCATATTTAAATTAATCTATCACATTTCAATATGGCGGATCCAAGATGGCGGCTGAAAAAACTACATCCGTCATAACCAAGTGAAAATATGTCGACAAT